AGAACACAAAAGAAGTGTTAAGTCTGCAGACACAAACAATTCTCTCTTCTGTCATGTTAAAGATTCTAATCATCCTATTGATTGGTCTTCCTCCAAAATAATCTTTCCTGCCTCTACTCTACACAGACACCGTCTTGTTGAATCGGCTCTAATACACAATGTACCCAACATGAACTTGAGTTCTGACTTTGTTGCTGTTGACCCTTCCCTTTCACAGTATATACTCAAATGCTGTAATCTTTCTAACAAATGTGACCTAACATAAGCTTACCCTTCCAATTATCTTTTCTTTCTCTTTCCTTTTCATTTTCTGTCCATTATTTTCTCTTACGATCCCTAGCTATCCTCTTCTTATTCCATTACTATCCCCTTCTTATTGGGTGGTTATAAATAAGAGCTGCCTCGTAGGGCCAATAGGCTTTCTGCAGTTACCTTTGTTCTTTTTCCTGTTACTATCCTCTCTACTACACCTTACCTTGCATACCTTTTGCCTTGTTCCTCACCTCTCTTTCCTATTTATTGCCCTCAACTCGTTCCCTCATCACAATCGACTTGAGAATGGTCCAGGACGGATCGAAACGTCGTCGTCCCTTCATTTTCTAGTGTGTGGATTGGTCAACATACTTCCACTCCTACGTTAATGAAGCGCCTCTTCTTTGCACTCACGTTCCATAGCCCTCTTCACAGATGAGTCGAAGTCTGCCGACGGAGTTGGCTACTGTCATCTTTCCTGACCAAACCTATGAGATGGTGGTCTCCTACCCCTGGAGACCACCATCTTTACGGCAGAACTTTATGCAATATTGTATGCACTCCGTCGACTGTTTTCCAGACATCAGCTTTCTCTTGTCATTGTGATCGACCCTTGCAGTATCCCAGTAGCTTTGGGGTCATTTAACCCTATACATCTTGTAGTCAAAATCCAACATTGGCTGTTTATCTCTAGCAGATTTAATACAATTGAGGTTTACCAAGTTCCCAGTCATATTGGTATTACCTAAAATGAACATGCAGACACAGCCACTAAGGAGGCTACCCACACTTGCCATATTTCCAAAAGGCATTATGTATTCTGATTTCTACCCAGTCATTCATTCCTCAATCTGAAACGGCTGGCAGGGCCATTGGTCTGGGATTACAGGTAACAAATGGGTGCACTTTTAACTAAACTTTCCCCTTGGCCTTCCTCCCACTGCTGCAATAGTGGGAAATGGCTTTGGCTAGGTTACATATTGGCCGTACACGATTAACTCGAAGCACTTAATGGAATGTCACTATGCTCCTTATTGCCCAAGTTCAATTGTCCAATTTATGGTTGTCCACTTGTTGAATGTCCCAATTTTCAGGACAATCGTAGGTCTTAGTTTCCCAATTTTCCTCGATAGAATCCTTGGTGAATCGGATACAGTATCTTTGATATCACTTGCCTTTTGTGTTTTTTGTTCCTATACTGACATCCTAAGTAATATTTAATGCTTTTTGAATATCCAGCAACACTGATGGTGCTACATAGTCTTCCCGGCTTGGTGCCTTCTTTCGATAATTACTTACTGCAATATAAAGAACCCCTCTGCCATACATGCTATCACAAAATAAGAATAACATTCCACTTAATGGAATGTCACTATGCTCCTTATTGCCCAAGTTCAATTGTCCAATTTATGGTTGTCCACTTGTTGAATGTCCCAATTTTCAGGACAATCGTAGGTCTTAGTTTCCCAATTTTCCTCGATAGAATCCTTGGTGAATCGGATACAGTATCTTTGATATCACTTGCCTTTTGTGTTTTTTGTTCCTATACTGACATCCTAAGTAATATTTAATGCTTTTTGAATATCCAGCAACACTGATGGTGCTACATAGTCTTCCCGGCTTGGTGCCTTCTTTCGATAATTACTTACTGCAATATAAAGAACCCCTCTGCCATACATGCTATCACAAAATAAGAATAACACCTCCCCTTTACTGTTTATCAGTATCTTGAGGGAGAAATCTGGACTTTGTGATTTAATGTACCTTCATGAATAAACAAGTGTGTGGTAGTCTCCTATAAAATACTATATAAAGAACACATGAAATGTACCATCTGCACTTAAATATTTACATGTAAATAAAAATCATTATTTTGAGCCTTGCGAATAATTTACAAAGTTGGTAACTGCATGGGAAATTATCCTAAGGATAATTATGTAATTTACTGCCTGGGTTACTCAACATTTCCTTAAATGTGGAAATTGTGTAGATTTAAGGCTATGTAAAATGTGCAGAGAGAAGAGAGGCCTTTAATATGAGTGGTGCAGTTCAGAAAAATGAAACACATTGGTAACTGTTATGTTTGTTTGCTTGCACAAAAGTATTATATTTAACCTCAATATAAATTTAGAATTTGAATTTTGTTATACTAAATATGTTTAAATATACAGTTCTGTTGGTAAATTTTAACAATTTTAATTAAAAATCTTTCATAGCACAACATTTGCTCATGTTTGTAATTGCAAGCACAATTTTACCACCAGTGATATTTAGCAATGTTCTATTTCTAAATGTGAATACCTGCAGATGTATTGAGTTAATTGGTGATAAATGCACACTTCATTTAAATTGAAAACCCAGCAATGAATGATATTCGAACCACACATCAGAAAACGAAGAAGAGAATGTAGGTTTCATTAGTGATTCTCATATTTTTCCAGTGGTCTTAGAATCTTTTTGGGTTATAAAAGGCTTAGCATAAAGAATATTATCTAAAAAAAATGACAATTACTTTTATATTAAACATAATTTTCTGATTTCATAAGAAACTATACATACAATGCTTACACAATTATGAATTTTTCTGGTAGATCTTATGAGAGGAAAAATGTAATATGTGAAGATTTGGTATTGATAATATTTTTCGTCAAAGTGAGCTAAGCTAAATCATTATACAGTACTGTCAAGTCACCTATATCAAATGGCAAGAAAATTTCACTATCAAATTTAGCCAGATATATTGTAACAAATATTTTGTAAAATAAATTTGTATGTGTACAGTACTTTATATATATATATATTATTAATTTATATAATTAAATTTTTTTATATACCAAATTTATTAAATAATATATATATATATATATATATATATATATATATATATTAGTATATTTTGGTAGCAGTCTTTCCTGTAGACATATATTATTAAATATGACCGAAAAAGTAAGATTAATAATTCTAACACGAATTTTCTCAATCTTTCGTACATTACGCTTCACTGTTGGAGGTAAATCAAAAATCAATTCTCCAAAATTCATTTTTATTTCTAGTCTGACGCGACACGGGCGCGTTTCGTAAAACTTATTACATTTTCAAAGACTTTAGTTCACAAATACACAACGGAATAGAACTTACGTATCTCCGATTTTATATCTACATTTGAGTGAGGTGGAAGGGGTGATGTGGCATTAACACAAGACAGAACAAAATGTGGTATTAATAGGGTATTAATTTCATCAACACAAGACAGAACAAGAGTATTAATAGGGTATTAATTTCATCAACACAAGACAGAACACGAAACAATGGATATTGAATAGAAGTGTTTGTAGAAAGCCTATTGGTCCATATTTCTTGATGCTTCTATATTGGAGCGGAGTCTTGAGGTGGGTAGAATATAGTTGTGCAATAATTGGCTGTTGATTGCTGGTGTTGACTTCTTGATGTGTAGTGCCTCGCAAACGTCAAGCCGCCTGCTATCGCTGTATCTATCGATGATTTCTGTGTTGTTTACTAGGATTTCTCTGGCGATGGTTTGATGGTATAGAAGCATCAAGAAATATGGACCAATAGGCTTTCTACAAACACTTCTATTCAATATCCATTGTTTCGTGTTCTGTCTTGTGTTGATGAAATTAATACCCTATTAATACTCTTGTTCTGTCTTGTGTTGATGAAATTAATACCCTATTAATACCACATTTTGTTCTGTCTTGTGTTAATGCCACATCACCCCTTCCACCTCACTCAAATGTAGATATAAAATCGGAGATACGTAAGTTCTATTCCGTTGTGTATTTGTGAACTAAAGTCTTTGAAAATGTAATAAGTTTTACAAAACGCGCCCGTGTCGCGTCAGACTAGAAATAAAAATGAATTTTGGAGAATTGATTTTTGATTTACCTCCAACAGTGAAGCGTAATGTACGAAAGATTGAGAAAATTCGTGTTAGAATTATTAATCTTACTTTTTCGGTCATATTTAAAATAATATATATATATATATATATATATATATATATATAATTTTTTTTTTTACTTTTTATTGAACAAGTACCAGAAGTATCAGAGCCAAGGAAGAACACATTACTATTCTTTAGTGGGTTGTATGAGAGGCATGTGGAATCTGGTCAATTAGTGCACTTCAGAGTTCAGGGATTTACACCTGTAATACATATGAATGATGACTCCTCACTGATGCTAACTGTATATTTCAGGACAAACAATCACTGCCAATTTTGTTTTGATATTTAGTGTTGCTCAGAATGCTGTGTATATGATAGCTTTAATAATGATACATTAGCTCTTGCAACCCAGCTTCTGTAATAATTTTGTTGTGCAGTCTCTGAAGCAATCTTCCCTTGCAATCCCAATTTTGTAAAGTGTAAACTTTTAAGACGATGAAGGTGATGAGTATACTTGCTAAATTAAGCATTCTGTAAAAAATATATTTAGGTATAAATTATAGAATCATATTCAGCTACATTATTAACTCGTGTACACTCATACCCTGAGAAAGCTCAACAAGCATTATGCAGGGTACATGTACATGCAGTTAATGTGTAATAATTATTTAATGCAGATAGATTATGTCATACCTATAAGGAGTTTTTAAACTTGTAAATATATATATATTTACTTTTTTTTTTTTTTTTTTTTACAAGGAAAGTTCGGGATACCCAGTACAATAATTTCATCTTTCATTTGTGTGAGTAATCAGAGTAGAGAATAAGTAGGCTTTTTATATTTGGCATGTATTTTTTAGGTGCATTTTTTTTTTTTTAAAGAGCTGACAAATTTTCCTGGAATTATGTTTATAATCAGGCCTGTCAGCAGTATGTGACTGTCTGCTTTTTCATTCCTGTCATATGGTTGTATTTATTGTATATATTATTGTTTAATACCTCTTTTTAAACATTATTATATTAAATGTGAGACTGCAAATTTAAGTATGTATTTCACTATTCCTGTAATAGAAAAAATAATGTTAATACAGTGTTTGATAGGGAAGCGATCTCGTCGAGATGAATCCATGCAAATGAGTTGCGTTAAATGTGGGAGTTCTTTTTGGCCTACCAGGGACCAGAGCCAAATCCTAGCACTTCCGCCACCATGGGAAAACATCCAGAAAGCCGGTGGGTGAAATTTTGCAGACAACTTGAGGGTTAACAGAAGCCTCAAAATTGCCATGTAACTCTGAAAACGATTGATGCAGAACAAGAGAAACTTTCAAAATTAGCACAAACTCATAGTACCAAATGCTACCACCAAATGGCCCAGATTCTACATATACATCCATCTTCTTTACTCACCTCATTCACTGATGTCCAGCTGGACAGTAGTATTCTGGGTCTTTCAGACACGGCAAGCCCCTCTGCTTCAAGCTAAGTCTCGGCCATCCTTGGACTTTTTCTTGCGGGGACCATTTCCTTTGTACTGTTCCACATATTAGTTTCTGCTTCACATGTATGTTTTTTACCCAGCTTGTTGTGTGGGCTTGGCTTTTGTTGTTCTTTGGGTTGCATGTACTCTAGGTCCTTCCCAGAGTGCCCTCTAGCACTACTCTTGCATTTAAGGATATCTTCTCTGGTCTGTTTGGTAGTTTATCCAAGAGGCTAGGGCACCAGAGTGGAGAGCCTAGCTTAGGGCTATTTGCGAGTCTTTGGCTGCTCTGTTTGAGCTCTAGGCTGGAGGCATTCTGTTGGTTGTGCTGGGGCTTGCATGTTTGTTTTTATGACACCACAGACACCAGTCATAGCCTGGTTGTCCCACTTTGTTGGCTGCATTCAGACCCCTTGCAAGTATTTGACATGGTTACTTCAGCCTATCAAGTCCACACTAACCACGTGCAAATGTGAAGGGTTCTCATCGTCTTTGCTACCAAACAATGATCATTCTTTCTGCCTCCACCATGCTGCCTGTTGAGTAGACACCTACGACTCTGAATCATGTGCGGTTTATTCTCTCTCTGGGTCTACACAGTGACAGATTCAGCTTCCAATGCAGAAGCTTCTCAGGCAGCTGCCACTTTGAAAGCTAGGTGTGCTAGAGTTAGATGTTCACAGCATTGTGATAGGTTGGATGCACCAGAGCTGGACCCTATGGTGTTTAGGGACTGAATTGGAGGTGTTTGTGATCTCCACCTGGATTCAGTCTGTGCTGCCTCTTCCTTACCATGTTGTGTGGTGCTCCCTGGTTCCAGCTCCAAAGCATCAAAGGATTTCAGAATCAGGGCAGGGTATAGCTTGTCCTTCTGCTCCCACTGGTTTTTCAGGGCATTTATCTTCACAACCACTTCCCCACTACATGAGCCTTCTCCATTGGGCACCCCCCTCTCTCATTTGTTGGAGCAAGGACTATGTCTATGACTATGACCATGGCTCTGCCTTCATGGCAGGTTTCTGGGCTTGAGGGAGGAACCCGAGGCGTGTCCTTCAACCCTTCTTAGACCTCTGTACCCTCTCTGGAGCATTTTTTGCTTCAGAGCGATAACTTTTCATATCCTCCTTTGTACAAGTATCATTTGGCTGCTCTTTTTTTTCCTTTAATGTCTGCATGGATTTGTTTCAATACCTTCTGCAAAATTCAGACCTTTTTCATTGATGGATCTGGTCTCTTTTTGGAGTACAGGTTCACTTTGGCTTATTGGCTGCAATGTGAGATTCCAGATTCATCCTGGCAGGCTGACATCCCCCATCTTTTTCTCTGAGGCTTGATAATGTTCCTACGATGGACCGTAAGCTGCAGGGACAGCCAGCCTAATTTTACCAGACAAGCAACCAAGAGGCTTAGGCAAGAGACCAGGCCACGAGTGGTGTGTGAACGTCCCCTCCCCCTCACTTCCATTGCAGTGCCAATGGGGAAAATGACTTGCAAAGCAAATAGCATATTCAAATATATCTATTGTAAAGTTACTTCACCAAATGTAAAATATTACTTATCACACTGTGGCCAACAATATTTTAGATAATACAGGTGTTAAAGATGCTAATTTAAAGGAAAACATCTTAATTTAAAAACTATTTATTTTAAAATGGCAATAAACATTTATAAATCTTATCCAAATATTGACAGCTTATCAATAATACTTTTCAATTACTGCCTGCTTTCATCTTCCCAAATTCTGTACTTAAAATCTTCATTACATCAGCATGCTTCAGATTTTCTTTAGACTTCTTAACTGTTCCATAATTTCCCTTTACAAACAGAGCAAATGCTCCTGGTGGTCTTGGTGTTTTGGGTGTGTAGTTAGCAGGTGTAACAGCCACATTTACCTCCAAGGGGTTGCCTCTCCCAGTCCCCTTTTGTCCTCCTTGCTGCGAGTTCACAATCAATTCAAATTTTCCATGGCAGAATCCACAAACTTTTTTCTCTGTATCAAGACTTTTGGAATGACGTCCAATGCTGAGAAAAAATAATTCACAAATTACATCCATTTGTGCAATAGTAATAATCATTATTAGAAATAATCATTAGTAATAATCACCCTATATTAAGTAAGAAATAACATCAGTATTTAAAAACAAGAAAATTTGCTATTAAGCATCCTTCAAAAATAATGATTTGCTTACTAAATCAGTCCAAGTAAGCAAAACTACTTACATGTAAATCCAAAATTGATTTTTTTTATTCAACACCATACATCAATATTACATAAACATCTTATAATTGTAATAAGCATAATAAAAATAGTACACAGAAGCTATGGGCTAGATCATAAAAATTTAGTGTGAGTATACAGTCATTCAAGGATTTTCCTGCATTTTTGTTTCAATATATATACTGTATAATTATTTGTTAGAAGTATAGATGTCTGCCAAAAAATCAGCGTCGAATGTAATGAAACACCATTTTCTGGGCGAGTCCCGGAGGCTCCCTGGAGCTTACTGGGCTCCAGGGAGATCCTCTCCCCCCAGACACCATTTTATTGTCCTTCAACTATTTCTCACTGGAAACAATGGATAAGCAAAATATAATACTGTACAACTGTTTACACTTTGGTGAATCATAGTTGATGACAGCCACTGTCATCAACTATGACAGCTCGGTCTCGGTGATCGCTTGGATGAACAATCCTCACTTAATCAAACATTTGTATGTTCCATTGAACATTTAGTACCGAATTCAATTTGTTCGGGTCATCCGGGAATTCGATAGAGTGGGGTTCTTTAGAGTGAGGATGCACTGTATCATAACATGGATGAAAAGGCTATATTTTATACAGAAAAGTGATTATGGCTGGGAAGTGAAGATACTGGCAGACAGTTCTTGTGACAATTGAGAACAAAATTTTCAGTTCAAATTTACAAGAACTATATTTCTGTTAGACATAATATTGATACTCTTCAGTTAGGAAGGTGTAAATTAATTTTCACCATATTTGTATTCAGTATTATTACACAGTATACGAAATTGAGATCCTACTGTATACGTATTTTTTAAGGCAAGGCAAAAAGAATTTGTATGAATGGAAGAATGAAACATGGACAGTGTTTTTTAATTAGGAAAAGATTACATGAATCAGATACTAACTATGGCTACTACATAGTATGTACAATTAATGATACTGAACATAAATTTTAATCAAGGCATACCTGTAAGAGCAGGAAGAACATTTGTATGTATATTTGCAGTTGATCTCATATGAGTGACATCGGTTGATGGCTGGAAGTTCTGGGCATCTTTGTGTTGCTATTGATGCCCTATTTTGTAATAATAAAAAAAAAAATCTGATCATAAAAGCTTTATATTTTCTCTCACACTTCTAACACCATTTTAACCATCTACTATTCCTCAGCTGTGTTATTTACTTGTACATTATTTATTTATTTATTTATTTATATATATATATATATATATATATATATATATATTAGTATATTTTGGTAGCAGTCTTTCCTGTAGACATATATTATTAAATATGACCGAAAAAGTAAGATTAATAATTCTAACACGAATTTTCTCAATCTTTCGTACATTACGCTTCACTGTTGGAGGTAAATCAAAATTCAATTCTCCAAAATTCATTTTTATTTCTAGTCTGACGCGACACGGGCGCGTTTCGTAAAACTTATTACATTTTCAAAGACTTTAGTTCACAAATACACAACTGAATAGAACTTACGTATCTCCGATTTTATATCTACATTTGAGTGAGGTGGAAGGGGTGATGTGGCATTAACACAAGACAGAACAAAATGTGGTATTAATAGGGTATTAATTTCATCAACACAAGACAGAACAAGGGTATTAATAGGGTATTAATTTCATCAACACAAGACAGAACACGAAACAATGGATATTGAATAGAAGTGTTTGTAGAAAGCCTATTGGTCCATATTTCTTGATGCTTCTATATTGGAGCGGAGTCTTGAGGTGGGTAGAATATAGTTGTGCAATAATTGGCTGTTGATTGCTGGTGTTGACTTCTTGATGTGTAGTGCCTCGCAAACGTCAAGCCGCCTGCTATCGCTGTATCTATCGATGATTTCTGTGTTGTTTACTAGGATTTCTCTGGCGATGGTTTGGTTGTGGGAAGAGATTATATGTTCCTTAATGGAGCCCTGTTGCTTATGCATCGTTAAACGCCTAGAAAGAGATGTTGTTGTCTTGCCTATATACTGGGTTTTTTGGAGCTTACAGTCCCCAAGTGGGCATTTGAAGGCATAGACGACATTAGTCTCTTTTAAAGCGTTCTGTTTTGTGTCTGGAGAGTTTCTCATGAGTAGGCTGGCCGTTTTTCTGGTTTTATAGTAAATCGTCAGTTGTATCCTCTGATTTTTGTCTGTAGGGATAACGTTTCTATTAACAATATCTTTCAGGACCCTTTCCTCCGTTTTATGAGCTGTGGAAAAGAAGTTCCTGTAAAATAGTCTAATAGGGGGTATAGGTGTTGTGTTAGTTGTCTCTTCAGAGGTTGCATGGCTTTTCGTCGTCTATGCCTTCAAATGCCCACTTGGGGACTGTAAGCTCCAAAAAACCCAGTATATAGGCAAGACAACAACATCTCTTTCTAGGCGTTTAACGATGCATAAGCAACAGGGCTCCATTAAGGAACATATAATCTCTTCCCACAACCAAACCATCGCCAGAGAAATCCTAGTAAACAACACAGAAATCATCGATAGATACAGCGATAGCAGGCAGCTTGACGTTTGCGAGGCACTACACATCAAGAAGTCAACACCAGCAATCAACAGCCAATTATTGCACAACTATATTCTACCCACCTCAAGACTCCGCTCCAATATAGAAGCATCAAGAAATATGGACCAATAGGCTTTCTACAAACACTTCTATTCAATATCCATTGTTTCGTGTTCTGTCTTGTGTTGATGAAATTAATACCCTATTAATACCCTTGTTCTGTCTTGTGTTGATGAAATTAATACCCTATTAATACCACATTTTGTTCTGTCTTGTGTTAATGCCACATCACCCCTTCCACCTCACTCAAATGTAGATATAAAATCGGAGATACGTAAGTTCTATTCAGTTGTGTATTTGTGAACTAAAGTCTTTGAAAATGTAATAAGTTTTACGAAACGCGCCCGTGTCGCGTCAGACTAGAAATAAAAATGAATTTTGGAGAATTGATTTTTGATTTACCTCCAACAGTGAAGCGTAATGTACGAAAGATTGAGAAAATTCGTGTTAGAATTATTAATCTTACTTTTTCGGTCATATTTAATAATATATATATATATATATAATAATGTTGTACCTAGTAGCCATAATGCAATTCTTGGCCTACTATGCAAGGTAGGCCAAGAACTGCACACACACACACACATATATATGTGTGTGTGTGTGTGTGTGTGTGTGTGTGTGTGTGTGTGTGTGTGTGTGTCTGTGTGTGTGTGTGTGTGTAAATCACGAAAAATAAACACGTGATTAAAAATGTGACAGTGTCAGACCACGGAGGAAAATTGAAACAGGAATTTCCTTAAGTACTTTCATATATTAATACATCTTTAGAAGGAGTGGTTTTACAGGTCAAGTATTGGACATATATAGGCAGGAGAGAATGCAGTTGCCAAAACACACTTCTCGGCCTACTATGCAAGGCCCAATTTGCCTAATAGGCCGAGTGATTTTCTTTATTTTCAATAAATTGTTTCCTATTGGTTTATTTTAAATATTTTTATTATATTAAATTAAGAACATAAGTTATTGATTTAGTTATGTTAGTTTAGGTTAGGTTAAGATAGGTTAGGTTAGGTAGGGTTGGTTAGGTTCGGTCATATATCTACGTTAGTTTTAACTCAAATTTTAAAAAAATTAGCTTATACATAATGAAATGAGTAGCTTTATCATTTCATAAGAAAAAAATCAGAAAAATATTGAAATTTTGGAAAACTTGGCTTATTAGGCAAATTGGGCCTTGCATAGTAGGCCAAGAACTGCATTCTGGCTACTAGGTACAACATTATTATATTATATTATATTATATTATATATATATATATATATATATATATATATATATATATATATATATATATATATATATATAGTGGTACCTCGAATAACGATCGCCTCAAATGGCGAACATTTTGGGTAACGACCGGCCCGATCGCCAACAATTCGTCTCGTATGGCGACCGCTCATTTGAGTAACGACGACACCACATGGTGGGGTCTTGCTGCTTCTTGCACAGTCTTGGACGCCTTCAGCGATGCAAATGAATTATGTGTTTTTGTTTAAAGATGCTAATGATGTTGGGATATAAAGGGGTGACTGCTGAGATGTTGCAAAGCATTGACTTTTTTGTAGAAAAAAGAAATGAAATTTTTTGAAAAACAGAACAAATGTCAAAAAGGTTCGTTCGGTGGTTGGCAGGTAGGCTGTGCCATGTTAAAAAAAAAAAGGTGAAACAATTTGATAAATAGACAAATGCCATAAAGGTTTGTTCAGTGTTTGTTGGGAAGGCTGCTCCATTCTCGAGACATAAATGAAAAATACAAAACAAATGTAACACACTAGAAACAAAGAAAGATTGCTATAATGGAGCAGCCTTCCCGACAAACACTGAACGAACCTTTATGGCATTTGTCCGATTTTATTTAAGAAACATGGAACAGCCTACCTGCCGAACACCGAATGAATATTTTGCTATAAGACCAAAAAAAAAAAATTGAACAAATTTGAAGAAAGAAAAATGTCATACAGGTTTGTTCAGTGTATGTAAGGTAGGATGCTCCATTATTTAAAACATCGAATATCATATCGATGTTTTTCGGTGGTAGAATAGCTTAATTTGATTTCCATTATTGTCAATGGGGACATTCGTTTTGTATGACGTCCATTTCACATGATCACAGCGCCGGAACAGATTAAATTCGTTATTTGAGGTTCCACTGTATATACATTATATATATATATATATATATATATATATATATATATATATATATATATATATATATATGTCGTACCTAGTAGCCAGAACGCAATTCTCAGCCTACTATGCAAGGCCCGATTTGCCTAATAAGCCAAGTTTTCCTGAATTATTATATTTTCTCTAATTTTTTTCTTATGAAATGATAAAGCTACCCATTTCATTATGTATGAGGTCAATTTTTTTTTATTGGAGTTAAAATTATCGTAGATATATGACCGAACCTAACCAACCCTACCTAACCTAACCTAACCTATCTTCATAGGTTAGGTTAGGTAGCCGAAAAAGTTAGGTTAGGTTAGGTAGTCGAAAACAATTAATTCATGAAAACTGGGCTTATTAGGCAAATCGGGCCTTGCATAGTAGGCTGAGAAGTGCATTCTGGCTACTAGGTACGACATATATATATATATATATATATGCGAACAAGCCTGAATGGTCCCCAGGACAATATGCAACTGAAAACTCACACCCCAGAAGTGACTCGAACCCATACTCCCAGAAGCAACGCAACTGGTATGTACAAGACGCCTTAATCCACTTGACCATCACGACCGGACAAAATGAGGTGATAGCCGAGGCTATTTGAACCACCCCACCGCCGGCACTCGGATAGTAATCTTGGGCATAGCATTTTACCAAATCACTTCATTCTTTGGGGCACACGTGAGGAACACAAATGCGAACAAGCCTGAATGGTCCCCAGGACAATATGCAACTGAAAACTCACACCCCAGAAGTGACTCGAACCCATACTCCCAGAAGCAACGCAACTGGTATGTACAAGACGCCTTAATCCACTTGACCATCACGACCGGACAAAATGAGGTGATAGCCGAGGCTATTTGAACCACCCCACCGCCGGCACTCGGATAGTAATCTTGGGCATAGCATTTTACCAAATCACCTCATTCTTTGGGGCACACGTGAGGAACACAAATGCGAACAAGCCTGAATGGTCCCCAGGACAATATGCAACTGAAAACTCACACCCCAGAAGTGACTCGAACCCATACTCCCAGAAGCAACGCAACTGGTATGTACAAGACGCCTTAATCCACTTGACCATCACGACCGGACAAAATGAGGTGATAGCCGAGGCTATTTGAACCACCCCACCGCCGGCACTCGGATAGTAATCTTGGGCATAGCATTTTACCAAATCACCTCATTCTTTGGGGCACACGTGAGGAACACAAATGCGAACAAGCCTGAATGGTCCCCAGGACAATATGCAACTGAAAACTCTTCACTTCTGGGGTGTGAGTTTTCAGTTGCATATTGTCCTGGGGACCATTCAGGCTTGTTCGCATTTGTGTTCCTCACGTGTGCCCCAAAGAATGAGGTGATTTGGTAAAATGCTATGCCCAAGATTACTATCCGAGTGCCGGCGGTGGGGTGGTTCAAATAGCCTCGGCTATCACCTCATTTTGTCCGGTCGTGATGGTCAAGTGGATTAAGGCGTCTTGTACATACCAGTTGCGTTGCTTCTGGGAGTATGGGTTCGAGTCACTTCTGGGGTGTGAGTTTTCAGTTACATATTGTCCTGGGGACCATTCAGGCTTGTTCGCATTTGTGTTCCTCACGTGTGCCCCAAAGAATGAGGTGATTTGGTAAAATGCTATGCCCAAGATTACTATCCGAGTGCCGGCGGTGGGGTGGTTCAAATAGCCTCGGCTATCACCTCATTTTGTCCGGTCGTGATGGTCAAGTGGATTAAGGCGTCTTGTACATACCAGTTGCGTTGCTTCTGGGAGTATGGGTTCGAGTCACTTCTGGGGTGTAAGTTTTCAGTTATATATATATATATATATATATATATATATATATATATTCTCTACAAATACAGTAGAGAAGCAATTAGTGGCAACTTACCATGCCTTCCAGAGTGGCCCGTGACCATCCTTGTAACCAGAGATGATCCAGGCAGCAGCATGACACAACTCATGAATAAGGGTGTCTCGTAACCTCTCGTTAGAATCGATTACCTACCAATTAAGAACAAATGACATCGCAATTCAAGTTCATGTCTTACAGGGAAGTCACTACATAAAAATAAAGCATTTCATAATTTATTTGAAAGAAATCAGTCAAGTTTAAGTTCTGTATATACAGGGGTAATTTGTTTTTTTTTAGGGGGGAGGGGGGGAATATGGTTTCAGTAGTTCCCTGTACGAGCTTTTTTTTTTTTTTTTTGCCCTTTATCTTTCTTGTTGTTGGGATTTGGGGTATTTTTTGGGCAACACGTGAGCAAGGCAGGCAGGCAAGCAGAACCCTTGGGTGACTCGAAAATCTGGTGGGGTAATGGATACTATACTGTATATTGATTTCAAAATCAAAATCACATATATTGTTGACATCGAGGAAACTATCACCTTCATTCGTTTCCATATTTTCTCTTACATTTAGATACATAATTTGTTTTATGGTATCTGTCCTTTCTGGGTGGTCTTACTCAGTTATGAGGTTCTCAGATGTTCATGCTCTTGTCACCTCTATGAGTGCACCAGGCTCTGGGGTCCTGGTGTTCAGTGGCCCTGCATAAATTCAGAGGCCTGGAAGTTTTGTGGCTGCCTTTGTAGTACCAGAACCAAGGGACCAAGGAGCTTTTGGGCTACACAGAAAATGGTGCCTTATTACATTAATTGCATGATTTTTGCAGTATCAAAACTTAAACTGACACTTTAATATCTTGTCCATTTAAATTACTATTTTGCAAGACATATTTTTACAGCCCGTGCATTTAACAAAGTTAATACAGAGCTGTACTTATACTGTACAGTACTGTAACTGTACAGGTATGTACTGGAGTTATTATTAAGATACTTAATAACTGAGGATTCCAGCAGACAAGTGGTAGACAAGGGAATAAAACGAAATGTAAATTTGGTAACCTTAAGCACAAAATGGACATTGCACTTTGATTATTGATATTAGGACCCCATATTTTAGAAAAGGGAGTTACACAATGTCATGTAAAAAGTAGCAAGACAATTTTTAAATGGATATGAAAAATAAACAAAATACTGCACAGAGCACACACTAGAAGGTGAAGGGACGACGACGTTTCGGTCCGTCTTGGACCATTCTCAAGTCGATTGTGTCGACACAATCGACTTGAGAATGGTCCAGGACAGACCGAAAGTCGTCGTCCCTTCACCTCCTAGTATGTGGTCTGGTCAACATACTTCAGCCACATTATTGTGATTCCTCGTCTGAATACTGTACATTAAATAGGTATACAGTACTGTAATAAAATTAAGAAAGAGAATGCAAAAATATAGTAGATACAAGTGGTGAAATATACTTTATGTTTAGAGAGATGTCTTTTAATCATGATTACAAAAGGACTCAACACCATGAAAAATGTTATACAGAATACAAGCTTCTTTCTAAAAATTAAAACAATGACGGTAATTTCAAAATCAAAATCCACCAAATGACAAATAAAAGCTTACCTTCATGGAAAGCTCAATTCGAGCTCCTCTTCCACTTGGTTTTGATTTATCTATCTGATAATAGCAAAAACCTGCCGTCTTGGTCATTCTTGCATTCCACTTAATATTCATTACAGGAGGGAGTTTATTTTCAAAGATACAATTATTATAATAATTGTATAATTTTTCTGACAATTGTTCCCGGCTTTTCTTAAAATTTTTAGTATAGACGACGGCCTCAGGATGACATCGACCTAAATGGACATTTGTAGAGAGTGATGCCAGGAAAGATAATGTTGGAGTAACATTGCAATTTCCACCCATTTTGTATCTTCTTGACACTGGTATAAAATTTCCCTCAGTTTTGGGCATGGTCTTACCACAACCCTTTGATTTTGGAGTAACAAGGGGCAAGGAAGGCTGGGTTGGTTTTCTTCTAACTTCATTTACAGAAAAAACTTCATCTGAATCGGAAGAAATGTTAATAGTTGGAGAATCACGCCAAGATGAAGAGCTTGTACTTGTAATAATTTTCTTTGACTTTTCAATCTTTTTATGTGATCTATGATCAGTTGAAATGCTGCCACAATATTTGTAATTCACAGCTGGCTCAGGCACATCATTTTGGGAGAATTTCAGAGTTAGAGGGGGCAGACTGTAGCTATCATCTTCATCGCTGTCATCGTTAATGAAGCTTGACTCGTATTTATCCTGGATTTTGTCGTCTACATAAAGTTTATTCTTTTCCTCTATTTGCTTCTTCACATTTGTTAAATAAAGCTCAAAACTATCATTTTCAGCTTTATTCTCACTTTCACTCGAAGAGAAAGATTCATTAACCAAAGCTCTTTGTTTTTCCTTTGTCAAGATTGGTACATTTTCAGGAGTATCATTATCTTTCAGTATCTTTTTATAATCCTCCTCCTCTTCCGAAGACGTTTCTCTTACTTGACAGAGAAAACTGTCTTCATCTTCACTGTCTCCCTCACTATCAGTTTCAAAGACAATGTGTTTCTTAACATTCTCTTTCACTTCTCTGACTTGATCCTTTTTATTTTCAACTTTGTTTTTCACTGCTCTCTTGAATTTTTGCTGTCTTGTTGAACTTTTCCTAAAGTCTTTAGTAACACTTTTCATAACAGCACCCATATGTTTTCTCTGCTCACCACTATAAATATGAATATTCCCACTTTCACCTGTACTAATTTGTGATATTCTTTTAGATTCAGGATTAGAGGAAGTTTTATACGATTGTATTTCAAGATCTGGTAAGGAGGTTTCAGAGTCAACCGAGACATTTGCTCGATCTTTGTAATTAAAGTGAATCTCATTTTCAGAGTCAGAATCAATAATCCTTCGAACATGCCTTGAATTTTGTGTTCTAGTAATTTTACCTGAACTATTATTGGGACTATCAACTGGGCTGTTTTTCAAGGTGCCTGGAGATGTGGCATCTCTACCAATAGTAAGCACTGTCTTCTCATTTGTTTTATTAGATTTACTTAGCTCCTCAGAGAGTCTAAGATGGAGAGAATCTTCATGGGATATATCAGCACAATCCTGCTTGGATGAACTAATGTTTTTCACGACTACGTTTTGTGCTCTTTGTGGATTAGATATTCTCTCACTGCCATCATCTGAATCTTCATCTGTTAATTCAACCACTCCTCCAATGTTACCACCTCTTCTTAACAAATTTGTGTCATTCCCACTAAAGTTGTCAGAGCTATTAGACACAGAAAGCGATTTTATAACTTTACTAACAGAATAAGAAGCCTTTTTCGATTTTTTGAGACTTTCCCCAAGCCCATCAGCAAGACTTCTCTCAGATCTCAAACATTGATTGCTAATATCTACAAGCTTTGTGGGACTGGATGGATCATCACTATGAATGTTATATTTTTCATGTACAAAACTTGTACCAAAGGAACTATCTTTAAAAGGACTTGAAATTATCCATTTTGCTACTACAGGGCTCTTTGTATTTTCCGTTGGTGTTACTTTATCTAGAATGTCTGGAGCTGCTGCGCAAAGTGGATTTAATTCACACAAAATCTGTGGTTTAGTATACTGATTGACAGGCATACATACAGTCCCCTTCTCTGGGCTAGCAGGATCTAGATTACCTTTATTGCTTTTGTTGCCATTTGCTAATTTCTGAGGTTGTTGTCTCAATGGAGGAGTACTATCCACTATGCTTACATCCTCACTTATGAGTGAATGACCATACATTTCTTGTGACCATAGAACAGCTCTTTGTGTTGATGTATTATAATTCTCCTGGTTCTTTAAAATTACCTTTTTATTTTCATTCAAACCTCTTACTATTTTAGACTCATCTTCAGAGCTTTCCGATATATTTATAGTTTGAATAACATTTTTTGTGGGCTTTCTTTTAAAGTACATTGGAGATGTATCAGGAGTTGGATGGTCAGAGTCTGAACTAGACACAACTTCAGTAGGAACAGAAAGAGTTGATATGTTGGGAAAGACAGGAGGATGAGAGACTTGTACTCGGTTAGAATGTTTATCAATCATTGTACTATTGGCAGCATTTTTAAAATTCACTTTAGATCCATACATTTTTATGTCAGCACTGCATGTGATGATGGTTTCATCATATTTAAATGTTTTATTTTTTATTGGGAATTTGGACATTTTGCTTTCACTCTCCTTTATTATACTTTGAAGATTTTTTTGTTTCCTTACAGCTTCCACATATTTTCGAAAGCCAACTAAAACATTGTTAACTTTAGTTGAGGTTGAAAACAAAGTTTCATTTTGACTTTCACAAGTATAATACAGTTGAGGAGCACACTTGCTTTCAGCTTTAGTCAAATTTGAAGCACTTTGCCCATTTTCTTTTCCATGGCAAAATTCAATAAAACTACCATCATCAATGTCAGTAAAAATACTTTCTCTAGATTCTCTTATGATGTGCCTAGGATTTGGCCCTTTATCTGTGACTGTGGCACCCCTGAATACTTGAGAATGAACTGCAGCCTCTGAACCCTCCAGGTACAGAGGATCATGTATATCAAAACTGTCTGTTTGGAAATCAACAGAATGGTCCTCATCCAAGGTCTGGAGATTTGTAGGAGTATTTCTTATTGATATTCTGGAAAACTGTGGCCTAAAATTTCTATTAGAACTTGAAACAATCTTTTTGTTTTCCTGTCTCTTAAAATTTGAAGTCAATCCATTTTCATGGGAGGGCTTGAGACTTTTGAGAGAAAGTTTATTGGTACCTGCAATGAAATAACAGTGTTAAAAATGGAAACGTGTCAAAATTGTTTCTAATTTGTGCCAATTTTCCAAATTAATATTGTATTTTCATAATACAGAAAATTTATTAAATGATATTTCTCAGCACTTAACAACTATTTTACATGTAAAATAGTTGCATATTATTTTACAAGAACTATGGTTGTAATATATACTTAGGCAGTTCAGTCAAAGGTAGGCACTGAAAAAATGTATGTTTTATGATAACATCTTACAAAACATGTAATACAGCCTTAAATTAATGAAATATTCTTTAAAAATGTCCACTATAAATACATACTAGTATTTTGAAATCTCTGTAGGACAATTTATGAAAGGCATACCCGAGCCTGTAAATCATAATACTGTACATACTCATTACATGGTGAAATGACTACAGTACAAGGAATGCAATGAGCACAGGCTGGAGGTGGTGGTGGTGAAGGATGAAGCTGGCATCAGAGAGAGGTGGTAACAGCTGAAGGAATATGACAGGAGGTCCCACAAGGCTTGGTCCTACAACCATTTCTAATATTGTAAATGACCTACCCAAAGCAGTACAGTATGCATACATGTCTGTTTTCAGGCTACCCAAAGCAGTACAGTATCCATATATATGTCTGTTTGCAGGCAATGCAAAGTAAATGAGGAATGTGAAAAGAGGAGAATTGCAGTATTACAGAAAGTACTCAACAAACTCCAGGAGTGGTTACACACAAATGGACGTTACAAGGTTTAACCTCAAAAACTAAAATAATAAATACAGGAAAGAGAGACATAATACCAGATAGAATTTACATTATAAGAGATAGGCAATTACAGAAATAAGAGAAAAACTTAGAAGTGAATACATGTAGTACCTCCAACAGAAATTGAATTTCTGGTTGCCTTCACCAGTGAGGTGGGGAAAATAAATGTGACCCTGCCCCGTGCTTCTGTGAGGAAGGGGGGGGGGGCCAGCTTCTGGCTCTAGTTCCAAATAGGACTATTGAACTTCATGATTAATGCAACGTAGTAGATAGTACCATCTCTGCATACAGCTTCATAAAAGACATATGACAATGACAATTACATGACAGGCATAAGAGGTTGTATTGGAAACTGAAATATATTGGAGGGGTGACAGGAAGACTTCTGACATGAATGAAAAATGTTCTAATGGATAGAAGAATGAGGGCAGTAATCAGAAGCAATATATCAAGACTGGAGAAATTTTACTAGTGAAGTATCACAGAGTTCAGTTCTTGTACCAGTAATGTTTATTATCTATATGAATGATCTACTAGAAGGAATACAGAATTATATGAACATGTTTGCTGATGATCCTAAGCTACTAGGGAAGATAAGAAACTTGGATGATTGTCATACCCTACAAGATGACCTGGACAAAATAAGTGTATGGAGCAACACTTGGCAAATGGAATTTAATGTAAATAAATGCCATGTTATGGAATAGGAGAAAACAGGCCACACACACAACCTACAAGTTATGTGGAAAATCATTAAAGAACTCTGCCAAAGAAAGATCTAGGGGTGGGTCTGGATAGTAGACTGTCACCAGAACACACAAAGGACATTGTGCAAAGAGCATATGCTATGCTTTCTAACTTCAGAATCACTTTTAAATACAGTACATAGATGGTGAAATCTTAAACTATTCACAATTTTTGAGAGACCAAAATTGGAATATGCAGCAACTGAATGGTGCCCGTATCTCAATAATCACATCAATAAACTGGAAAAGGTGTGCTGGCATGCTACAAAATGGCATCCAAAACTGAAAAACAAGAGCTACAAAAATAGGTTATAAGCATTAAATAAGCTAGAGCTAGAAAATAGAAAGAAACAATATGATCACTACATTCAAAATAGCAACAGGAATCAACAAAATCGATAATGAAGAATTCCTGAAACCTGCAACTTCATGAACAAGAGGTCATAGATATTCAAGCTAAGTAAACAAAGGTGCCAAAAAATTGTTTTGAAAGCTTTCTTTTGCAGTTGTAGATGATACAAACAATTTATGAGAAAGCAGTGGAGGCCAAAAAATCAGTACTGTACTGTAGTTTCATAGCGTCATATGACGAGCACTTGGAAGACGGGACACCACTAGTGTAGCTCTCATCCTGTACTCTCAATGTTGACCTTGGATGTCGAGATGATCATATGTATGAATGTAGCAATGAATTAATGAATCTGTGAATGCATGTACAATGAATGAATGTATAAAATTATATAATAATGAATGGATGTATCAAGTATGAGCCAATAGGCCCATACATGAGTTTAGGAGTACAGTATTTATATTATATAAATTTATCTGAATATTTATATCCTCCCAAACTCATTCATGTATTGACCTATTGGTCCATACAAGCCGTATGGGCCCATACGCCTTGGGCCCATACAAATAGGAGTTGCCTCATACAAGTCAATAGGCTTTCGGCAGATCCTATATTAAAGTGTACAAATGATGACTGATTGACCTGTTACACTTCACTACAACCATATATTTACATATCAGTATACATAATATATACAGTAATTATAATGGAATTTTATACCATGACCACATTGGCATAGTAACATTTGCAACAGTAATTGCATTTGCATACTAAGCAATCACAAAACAATAGAAGTATTTTTTCCGTGCATCGTGGTACAGTACAATTTACTTCATCCATATAGCTATTATACCTACATTAGCATTGCAAGTGTAAAACCCAGATAATAATTAAATTTATAATAATTCATTGTGTCAGGAGACAGCAAGCCAGAGTGTATTCATACACATTTGGCTTTTATTGAGGTTCCCCCTTCCCCACAAGGTCGAATTACTGACCCCGCCCAGCATGCAACCCCACAACAAGTTGACTAACTTTTTAGTCATTTTTAGTCACTGTACACAACATTTGAAAATGGAAAGTTACTAAGCAGTGTCAACTACAATAGGAAGGTTTATGTTAGGCTTTTACTGGTAAGCTTCTAAATTTTTTTAGGTAAATTTGCAGGTACAGTAATTAGTAGAGATCATAAGCAGTAAAGTCTATAGATTTTATATGCAAGAGTATGATCCTGTCCTAAAATTAAATATCGTGCATTTTCCTTCATCTACCCACGTTGAGAAGGAAATATATGCTGTTTCCTGGGTGATCCACGTGGACTCATGCCAAATGGGGTGAGAGGCAAGTCAGCAATATCTAGTGAAAGACGAGTTGAGTTGACATTCCCATGTGGAGTCCCCATTTCATAAATCTGAAAATGAAAGTACAAATATCCTTCGAAAAGTATAGACATCCAAAACTTATTTATTTTAAATAATTATATTAAACTTACCCAAATGATCTTTAATTATTTATGCTATTTTAATCACTAAGTATATCTGATTATTTACCCAATAATCATTGGTGAAATTAACTAAATCAGATTTTTGCCAATAGCCATACAACAATCAATTAAGTGCCTGGAGTAACACATCCCAAATGGAATTTAATGCAAATAAATTCCTTGTTATTGAATGTGGAGTAGGAGATAATAGGCCACAAACAACCTACAAATTATGTAATTGCTAAGTTTAGTTACAGGATGAGAGCTATGCTTGTGATGTTCTGTCTTCCCAGTACTCTGTCACATGAACTGGTACACCAGTTGATCGACAGTTGAGAGGCGGGACCAAAGAGTCAGAGCTCAACCCCCACAAGCACAACTAGGAGAGTACATGACACAAACTACTGATGATTTTGACATCCACCACCTTCTCACTTGTTCGAACCAACTACCACTTTGTTTGCAAAAGAAAGCTTTCTAATATTTGTTCAGCACCTCTGTTTCCTTAGCTGGAATCTATGACCTCTTGTTCGTGAAGTTGCCAATTTCGAGAATTTCATTTCCCTGTCAATTTTGTATATTCCTGTTACTCTCTTGTATGTTGTGATCATATCACCTCTTTTTTTTTTCCTTCTGTCTTCTAGCTTTGGCATATTTAACACCTCTAGTCTCTCTTTGTAGCTCTTTAATTTTCTAAAGCCATTTTGTAGGATGCCTTTGCATCTTTTGTATTTTACTGATATGGTTCTTGAGATATGGGCACCATACAACTGCTGCATATCCAGTTTCAGTCTCACCAAAGTTGTCAACAGTTCCTCTGGTGACAGTCTGCTATCCAGAACAACACCTAGATCTCTCTTACAGTTCCTAAATTCAATTCCACATAATTTGTAGATTGATTGTATGGCCTATTCTCTTCTTTTTCAACATATCATAACATGGCATTTATTCATATTGAACTCCATTTGCCATGTGGTGCTCCATGTACTTATTATGTCTAGGTCATTTTGAAGGGCATAACAATCGTCTAAGTCTCTTATCTTCCCTAGTAGCTTGACATCATCAGCAAACATGTTCATATAATTCTGTTTTCCTTCTGGTAGATCATTTATGTAGATGCTGAACATTACTAATTCAAGAACTGAATCCTGTGGTACTCTGCTAATAACACTTTTTTAGTCGGATACATTGTCTCTGATTACCATCCTCATCTTTCTGGCAGTTAGAAAGTTTTTTATCCATGTCAACGGTCTTCTTGTCGCCCCTTCAGTATGTTCCAGTTTCCAAAACAACCTCTTGGGTGTGACTGTCAAAAGCCTTTTTTTAGGTACAGATAAACAGTCAACCCAACCATCTCTCCAGTAGAATGTCTGTAGTTCTAACAAAAACTAGGTAAATTTGTTACACAGGATCTTCCTGTTTAAAAACTATGTCTACCACTAAAATTCCTTTTCAGAAAATCTCTGGACCAAGAGGTAGTTCCCTTAGATTACAAATGTCACCCCTATTTTAAAGAGGCAGAATGAGCTCGGAAGAAAACTACAATCCAATCAGTTTGACCTTGCATACCTGCAAGCTCATGGAGAAAATCCTAAGGAATGAAATCATCATCTCACCGTGAACAATCTAGTAAAAATCAACAACACGGTTTTGTAAAAAAAATCAATTCTACCTTACAAACCTGTTCACATTTTTGGAAATGGTAACCAGCTATTCTGACAAAAGACTTTCAATATAGTATACACAGACTTTGTTATAGCTTCTGAAAGACTGGTAAGGAAAGTACCAGCACATGGAAAAAATGATAGAACTAGAATAGATAAAACAATGGTTAAAACAACTGAAGAAAAGGAGCATGTAGTCAGAATCCACCAATCACTGAAGTAGCACAACAAATGGGACACACATCAAAAGAAAAAAGCCAACCAAATCTTAGGAATAGTCAAACAAACTTTTGACTTCGAGGATATTAAGGTAGTTATTCAACTGTATAAATCTCTGGTGTGCCCTGATTTGGATTATTGCCTACAAGCATGGAGACCTCGTCTTCAAAAAGATATATCTGCCTTGGAGAAAGTTTGACACCTGGTGACAAAAAATCATTCCAAAACTAAGTCAACTCTCATACCAGGAACGGTTGAGGGTTACAGGGTAACAACACTGCAAACCAGACATGACAGGGCAGATCTTATCAAAACTATATAATACAGTACAGAACAATTTGGAGGATATTGGGCCAGACCACTTCCTCAAAAAAATCAGATGTAACACGATGAAGGAGCAATGATTTTAAACTCAATGCCACACAACAGGATATAAAACAGGAGACGCTTCCATAGGTTTATAAACCCATGGACCTGCCTACTTGCTGAAACCATAAATGGCAAAATACGTACTGCTGCAATTTCCAGCTCAATAAGGATCCCAGTAGTACAGTCGGGTTCGTTCTCAACTCACAACCAGGAATTCCGGGTTCGAATCCCGGGCAGGACAGAAATGGTTAGGTGGGTTTCCCATCACCTAATGACCCTGTCCACTCAGCAGTAAATAAGAGCCCAGGAATTAGTCAGCTTGTTGTGGGATTTCATCCTTGGGAGGGTCACCAAATCAGCCCTGGGGAAGGGAGGGGGACCTCGATATAATTCTAACATATACTGTACAAAACTGTACAGTACATGTTATAATACATGTACTGTACAAAACTGTACAGTACATGTTATAATACATGTACTGTACAAAACTGTACAGTACATGTTATAATACATGTACTGTACAAAACTGTACAGTACATGTTATAATACATGTACTGTACAAAACTGTACAGTACATGTTATAATACATGTACTGTACAATATAAGTACAATATAAATTCTAACATGTACCTCTATGTATAAACTGGCTGCCTGTCCACTGACACAATGAATCATTATATTAAAGTATTATTATAAAATCATCTGAATAAATGGTGGGAGCTTTGTCTTTGTTGAGGCCACTAGAAAGATGGTGTCCCTCAGGTAAATGCAGGAAAATTGTTATGATACCAGTGATCCTACAAGCTGTCATAACAGTTATCATATTACTGTCTCCTACCCATTAAAACACAAATTTTAACTGATCAATTATTCAAAAACAGTCTGTGAAGCTTTACAGTACTTTTAACGCAAGAAGGCATCTTTACATTTACGTTGACATTCTATTAACAAAACTTGACTTTGCTTCAAGCAGTCTCTCTCTCTCTCTCTCTCTGTATGACATATGGTAAGTCCCTTCATACACAAGACAGCTTGCCAATAAATTTGAACACTCAACTTAACAAAATACAGTACAGTAGATTTTTAAGAAAATATGAAAATGCACAATAAGAATATTTCATCATAACAATAACATTTCAGGAAAATCTAGTGGCATTATCAGCTTCACTGAGTAATGTCAAAACCTCTGAAATGAACAGAGCAAAAGGTTTTGAGACCAAGTTGATAATTTTTCCAATTTGCTCCCAATCTAAAATGACAATGACAATTTTAGTAAGCAGACGATGAGTCACAATAACGTGGCTTAAGATATGAAGACCAAATCACACACCAGAAAATGATGAGACGACGATGTTTCGGTCTGTCCTGGACCATTATCAAGTCAATTGTGATGAGATGAGGGAGGCACGTGCATTTTAGTATTTTATCGTATTTTTATCAATTTTAGTAACATTCGAACTTAACTTTATCTACCCTAGTCTTCACTTAGCTTAAAATACAAATTAAGTTAGTACTGTAAATGATAATTAGGTACAAAAGGGTCAACTAAGCCACTGTAATATATAGTTTCATGACTTTTTATTTCACGGTTAATGCCAGTGGTGGCCAGTCTTCCCATTTTCAACTTGCTATACTAATAAGACTTCTTAACTTACATGGCCTTCACCTGACCAACCGATCTGGCCTAACTTATTCAGAAATTCCAAAAATGTGCGGATAATTTGCGTTCACAAAGTGTGAAGGAACGTCTCGTCTTGACATTACAGTACTTGTGTGTCCCTGCCTTCTCAAACTTTTGCTTGATGAACTGCACTGTAATTTAAAAACTTTATAACTACTGTATTGTATTTCTTTAAAAGAGAACCTGAAGCAATACTGTATCTTCAACAAAACCTTATAGTATAAAAAGCCTTTTTTTCAGATTCTCATAAATAAATCTGCTTAAATAAATACAGCAGGCTAACTTAGAACATGACATGCTCATACAGTCAACAAATTCAGCTCGTGAACTGTAATTAGTTGAACACAAATGCACTCGCCTGGCTGCGAGTTGAACTAGGAGAGTACATTTAAGTTGAACTAGTTACACGAACTGATTCTATTGACTGTATGACCATGTCATGTTCTAAGTTAGCCTGCTGTATTTATTCAAATGTTGAACCGTGCTCTAATTCCTAGAACAATTATGTAGTGCACACTTCCATCTCTTCAAGACAGATATGGGGTCCATGATAAAACTAATTAAATTCGAAGCTAACAGAAAAGAATTTATTATTTTAAATAATTTTGTTATGGTCCCCAATACATCCAGTATTCAGCTATTGAAATTTACCTGGAAATATTAGTCAAATAACGAGTTCAGTAAGTACACGCACTATATAGTGAAGCAAACCTGCTACTTCAAAATGCCTTGATATACCCTTTATACTTACTTAAATGTTAAGAATGTGTATTACCTTGCTAGGAGGACTTGGTGGAGAGTAACTGGGAGTAACAGTCAGCCAGGACAGGTCCCTACCTGTCACCCTCCGCCGCCACAGTTCAAACACCCATCAACACCGCCGGACATAATCTTTATAATATAAACATTGGACAACTTGAACAGTGAAAAGATAAATACTAACCCAGTAGAGAAGCTTCGCTAATCTAAATATTTAATTTTGTTTAACTATTGTTCATTTTTCTATACTAATAAGATTCCTAAAACGAAAATGATAAAGTTCGAACAAAATCTGTTAAGCCAGCAGGCTTTGATTGTTGCCACTAGCACAACAATCAAAGGTCGAGCAGAGTAGAATTCTGGAATTTATTTTATTACATTTTAAAATAAACAATAATGCAAAGCTATAAAGTAAAATAATCTAAAATATAAAGTAAACATGGTGTGCCTCTGTAACCCTTTCCACTACCGCCCACAGATATGGGTGGAGTGCATAATAAATGACCTAAACTAAACTGTATATACATTAGCTTCTTAAACAAAAATACTTTTTTTTAGACAGTTTCTTAATTTACATGAGGGCCACTATCTCTAGTGGCCTCGTTAGGGGCAGAAAGTCGGCGGCTTATCATAGGTCCGAACCCATACTCATCCTGATGATAGTTTAGTTCATTTTTCTTACAAAGCAAGTAACTGACAAAAGATTAAACAATCCATGGCTCACAAGTGGCATTCTCAACTCAATCAACAAGAAACATGAATATGAAAAGAAAGTTAGGATTGGCCTAGTTTCAAAGGAAGTAGCTAAAAGGTACTCATCAATGCTTACCAGTATCATAAGAAAGGCAAAACTTGCATATTATGTGAATAGATTCAATGAAGCAAAAGGCAACATGAAAAACACTTGGAAAACTATCTCTAGTATCCTAGGAACTAAACAACACTCACATAACCAAATAAAACTCTACAAGGATGGGGATATACCGTCAACTGATTTAGAAATGGCAAATGAATTTAATAGTTTCTTTTCATCGGTTGGTGCTAATCTTGCCAGTAAAATCCCACAGACTCAGACACATATTAACACATATCTCTCAGGCAGCTATCCAAACTCTCTTCTCCTTTCACCAATCAGCCCGGCAGATGTTGTGTCCATCATACACTCTCTAAAAACCAAGGCAGGGAACACCAGTGAAATTCCGTCCATTGTGTACAAGAGAGCCTCCCATGCCCTTACCCCACCCATAGCACTACTGTTCAACAAATCTATAGAGTGTCACACCTTCCCTGATATCCTCAAAAAAGCAAGAGTAACGCCAGTCCATAAAGGAGGCAATCCGGCGGACATAAACAATTATAGACCAATATCAAATCTACCCATTCTATCAAAAATATTTGAAAAAATTATTTACAAACAGCTCTATTCCTACCTCGTAAAATTCGACATACTCAGCCCCTGCCAGTTTGGCTTCCGGTCCCAAAAGAGTACCAATGATGCAATCATTAGTCTCCTTGACATTATCTACTCAGCCCTTGACAAAAATGAGTTTCCGATTGGACTCTTCATTGACCTAAGAAAAGCCTTTGATACTGTTAATCACAACTACCTCTTACTTAAACTCCAGCATTATGGAATCCGAGGCCTTGCCCTTGACTACATCCGATCCTATCTTAGTGACAGACACCAATATGTAACCATCAATGATACAACTTCTTCCACTCTACCAATTACCGTTGGAGTGCCACAGGGCAGCATCTTAGGACCTCTTCTATTTCTTATATATATAAACGATCTGCCTAATGTCTCTAATATTCTCAAACCTATATTGTTTGCTGACGATACTACCCTTATCTACTCAAACCTCAACCCACATACACTAAATAATGTTGTGAATAATGAATTAAAAAAAGTCCACTTATGGATGTCAACGAACAAACTAACATTAAACATCGAAAAGACTTACTACATCTTATTTGGAAGCAAATCATCAAATGCAATTCAGCTACAGATAGACAACATTAACATCAGTAATAAAAATTATGGCAAGTTTCTTGGCCTATTCCTAGACAAGAGACTCAACTTCAGCACCCACATTCAACACATAACTAAGAAAGTCTCTAAGACAGTTGGTATACTCTCCAAAATCAGATATTATGTTCCTAACTCTGCTCTCCTCTCACTATATTATGCACTAATCTACCCCTATCTTAATTATGGTATCTGTGCATGGGGGTCTACCACTGCAAACCACCTTAAGCCCATCATCACACAGCAAAAATCTGCTATCAGAATAATAACTAACTCTGCTTTCAGACAACACTCAGCTCCCTTATTTAAATCTCTAAACTTGCTAAATATTAACTCCCTCCACACATTCTCTTGTGTCAACTACATTTACAAAACCCTGTTCTTAAATGCAAACCATGCTCTGAAACTCTCCCTGGACAGATGTAATAGGACCCATTATCACCACACCAGAAATAAATATCTCTTTGATATCCCCAGGGTCAAACTTAATCTGTGTAAACACTCTATGCAAATTAAGGGACCTAGTCTATGGAACTCACTCCCTAGTGAATTGAAAAACTGTAAAACTTTTGCCTTATTTAAAAGCAAAACCAAAAGTACCTAACTTCATCTATTTAGTTTCCTACACTGAGCTTTAAATTTGCTCTGTACCTAGTGGTACCCAATCTCCTAATTTTTATGTAATATCAAACCTTATCATTGTGTTCATTGCTGTCTTCTTTTATGTGCTAGCCATATGCTGTATTGTGACTACCAATTTTTGTCAACTACCATTCAAGCTGTCATTGCAATCAATCTTATATTGTTTCTGCTGTATTGTGCCTACCAATTTGTTGTCAACTACCATTTTAAGCTGTCATTGCAATCAATCATAGCTACCTATGTGCTTTAATATACTGTACCTATAATTTTCTCTCATCTTTTTTTTTTTTTTTCATTCCATGTAATCTGTTATCATTTTTTTGTCTATAAATTTTGCAAGTATTTACCTCCTTAAAATTTTCTTAGATTAAGGACCTGCCCGAAACGCTGCGCGTGCTAGTGGCTTTACAAGACTGTAATTACCATAATTGTATCCTCACATTCCTTATGTACATTCTTGTATATGCATAAATAAATAAATAAATAAATAAATAAATAAATTTATTATGCACCCCATACCCATCTTGTGGGCGGTAGTGGAAAGGGTTACAGAGGCACATAATGGGCTCAGGGACTGAACCCCACAATTCAATTAGCTAAGCAAGTTACAATCTTGATGAGCTAGGTACAAAATTCAGTATAAGTCGTCACATCATCAATGGGTTCGAGATCGATCTCAAGTACAGTTTCTAAATTAAGCAACTGACATATGTGGAGAGCTAGTGTCACAATTAATATGTTTGTCCTGCACACCGCCCCCCATCTAGTGGGCAGCGGTGGATAAGTTACAGTCACTTAGTTACTACCTACAGTTAGTAAACTGGGGATATTTGGCTAAAATTTCTGGTAGCATATTTCTGGTATTTGGAAGCAGATCATTTTGAATGAAATATATACACATCGTTGGAATATTCGTTATAGAATTGTCTCTGAATTTACGTATCTTTTCGCACTCCATCACATAGTGACGGAGGGTGTGCGAATAATTTTATTGACACAGTTTACATTTGGTCAGGTCTACATCGGCAGATGATCAGAATTCCCAGAGATACTTGTAACCGAGTCTAAGCCGAGCAGTGGTAACATCTAGAAGTCTATTGATTTTATTGGATGAACCATAGATGTGTGGCTCCTCTTGCATGATAGTATGATGATAGATGGAATTACTGGTGTCGATTTCACTTTGCCTCAGATCTACAAGATCTTGTTGAAATTCTCGGTGTACTGCTGCTCTCAGATTGCTCATTGACAATCCAAGGTTACTAGAAGTCTAAATAAGTCAGTATTTATCTCAACGTCTCCTTTAAAGGCAGATTCTTTGGCTAACTCATCAGCTGTCTCATAAGATGTACAGTGACCACAACACAGCAGTTGCAACATCAGGATCTGCGGGTTGGTACAAGAATTCAACCAACTACGAACCACTTAGTTTGATTAAAGGGAGCAGTAGAGCAACAGAAGTCCACTTACATTGCATCAGGCTTGGATACCCATGTGCATGGGAAATAGGCTTACAGGTTCCGGAAGATGAGAGGAAATGTCAGCACTGGAGAAATGCCCGACAGACCACTGGAACATCAAGTTCAAGTTCAAGTATGTTTATTGAGACAAGAAAAAAATACATCTCAAAGGGATAGAGTAGCTTAGGCTATTTCTACCCCCCTCTACTTCAAGTCCCTCAAGGGGCGCACAAATTCAGTGAGTACAGATACACAAATCACAATACAACATTTAACATTGCATATTAATATAGTAAGTGTTACAATCATTGGGGCAAAATTCTTGTAGTTCCTAAGTATTCTGTCTATCATATCATTATCACACATCCAAACAATTTGAAGTGGTACACTACTTATTTCCTTATTTCTATGGTTCCATAATTTGACACTTTAATACATAATGGTCTTCCAAGTTCAAGTAGGTTTATTGAGACAAGTTAAAAAAAAAAAAACTCAAAGATTAGCTTAGGCTATTTCTACCCCTTCCCATACTTCAAGTCCCTCAAGGGGCGCACAAATTCAGTGAGTACAAATACAAGAATCCCATGTAACATATCAGGTTAATATAGTACTATCTAAGAGTATAATAGTGTACATCCACCGCACTAGATTTTAACCCATTAACGCTCCAAGATACTATTCTCACTCTACTTTCATCCATGATTTAATAAAACTACCTTTGCCCTGTCTGTCACATTCCATGAGATACGAGATTTTCTCAGACAGACTCTCCCAACACTGTAACATTTCTGCTTTCTCCTCATTTGCACAACAGCTACTAGCATCAAAGGTGATCTTATTCATATCTAATTTCTTTCTTATTTCTCTATACCGTTTTACTTTAACCTTTGTTTCAACATTTGTCACTACAGAAGGTTGAACGCTAACACTACTAGAAAGTTCATTTTCCTGACTATCCTCTATCATCAATACGTCATGTTCTTCCTTACTTTCTTCAACGCACATTTCACGTCCTGTTTCACTTTCCACTTCACGTCCTATTTCACTTTCCATTTCACGTCCTGTTTGACTTTCCATTTCACGTCCTGTTTCACTTTCCATTTCACGTCCTGTTTCACTTTCCATTTCACGTCCTGTTTGGCTTTTCATTTCACGTCCTGTTTGGCTTTCCATTTCACGTCCTGTTTGGCTTTCCATTTCACGTCCTGTTTGGCTTTCCATTTCACGTCCTGTTTCACTTTCCATTTCACGTCCTGTTTCACTTTCCATTTCACGTCCTGTTTCACTTTCCACTTCACGTCCTGTTTCACCACTATCTTCACCCCGTCTACCCCCCATAGTTAATTTTTCTAATGCCTCAATCCTCTTTTCTAGTTTTTTTAGATATTCCAATATTTGAGTACCAACCTCAGAGTTCACTATATTGACCTGAACCTTGTTTCCACAAGGTTTAATTTTTTCAGCTGCATTTCCTACTTTCCCTAGGCTCGCCTTAATTGTCTCTGTTCCTTTCTCCCACACATTGTTCATAGGCGCTGTCATTGGCTTCCAACTGTTTCCTCCATGTTCCTGCTGCACAATCTTTCCTTCCTTCGAGGATACATCTATCCTGCTTGTAGCACCCGTCCTCGAGTCTCTCAGATGAGGCTTCATGCGACATAGATAGGAACCAGCATTGTGGCTTCCTCGACAATTGCAACAAGATGGGACGATTTTTTCACCGTTTTTAATCTTGACTCTACACTCTCGAGAGTCGTGTTTCTTACCACAGTACCGACACCTGGAGTCAAACTGGCATTTCCAAGCCATATGTCCCCAACGAGAACACTTCATGCATAATATGGGCTCCTCAATGTATTTTACAACTTTCCTGTAGCCTAGTCCTTGCACAAAAATTCTTTCTGGAGCCTCACCCTTTACCAAGGCAACAACCTGGCTTTGTTTTTCACCACGAACACTGTTCCTCTTCGCCCAAACAACACTATCATTGTTGAGCAATAGATAATCAGGATCCAAATAAGTTGGATACTTAAACACTATGACCTTGGTGTACATCATACCTTTTTCCGGAGTAACCATCACAATATTCTCAAACCCATCCTTCGTTAGGTGTTCCACGGCCTCTTCTGTCCCAACTGTTATATAGGGCCGGTGAAGACCCTCCTTGAATAGTGGTTCATATTCAAAAAACTCCTTAGCCAAACGAACCGTCCACTCCAGCTTTTGATGGAAATTCAGTTGACATGCTGTAGGGAACAACAGCCTCTTCCTTCCATTAGTCTGCATCTCCCGCGTCCTGCTGAGCATGTCTTCATTTTTTGGTCTCTTTGTTATTTCCTCCTCACTGTCTTCGTCTCGCTGTCTTTGAATATTTCTCCGTTTATATCTGTTTACTACTGCTTGATACGGCCTAGTATCATCCTGTCTGACATCCCCACTGTCACACTCTCCAGGCCCAGTACAGGATCTTCCATCACCTAGGCAGACCGCCTCAGCCATTTCCTCGATACACAAAGGCACTGTATCACTGCAACAGTCGAGAACAAATTCACAACATCTAGCTGCAGCAGCCACGTGCAAACACGAAGATGCGGAGCAACACGTCCTCCTCGCATCATGCTGCAGACCGCACTGCACTGGAACATTATCTAACACAGTGCACAGTTACAAACCCATTAAGATTTCAACTTAGATTCAACAGAGCAGAAGTTGTTAAACACATATGGCAAAATCTTCGGCTGATCAAAATCAAAATAATTTTTGATGAATGGCTGCATATACCTGATTTACCTGAGGGCCACTAACCCTAGTGGCCTCGACGAGGACAGGAAGCCAGCGGCTTGGTGGGTCTTGGTGGGCTCCTGGTGTGCCCTTAGTCATGGTGCCCGGGCGACTGGCTTCTGCTCTGCCGGGAGCGCACTAGATGGCTTTTACATTTTAGTTGGGGCCGATCGAGTATTTGATTTTGCTACCCGGTGTTCTCTGTGTGGGACGGGGCCGGTATATACCACCCTGAGGGACTCCTGGGGCTCCCCAATTACCTGCCTGTCTGTACTCACCTAGTTGTGGTTGCAGGGGTTGAGTTTTGGCTTTGATCCCGCCTCTCAACCGTCAATTAACTGATGTACAGATTCCTGAGCCTACTGGACTCTGTCATATCTACATTTGTAACTGTGTATGGAGTCAGTCTCCACTACATTACTTAATAGTGCATTCCATATACTAACTAGTCTGACAATGAACAAGTTCTTTCTAATTCTATGGCTCATTTGGGTACTATCTTCCACTTGTGTCCCTTTGTGCGTGTACCACCCGAGTTAAATAATCCATCCTTGTCTACCCTGTCAATTCCCCTGAGAATTGTGTATGTGGTGATCATGTCTCCCATAGCTCTTCTGTCTTCCAGCGACGTGAGGTGCAGTTCACGTAGTCTGTCTTTATAACTCATGTCTCTTAGGTTTGGGACTAGCTTAGTGGCATACCTCTGAACTTTTTCCAGCTTCGTCTTGTGCTTGACTAGATACGGGCTCCATGCTGGGGCTGCATACTCCAGGATTAGCCTTACATATGTGGTATACAAGGTTCTCAAGGATTCCTTACACAGGTTTCTGAATGCGGTTCTGATGTTAGCCAGCCTCGCATGGGCCGCTGATGTTATTCTTTTGATGTGGGCTTCAAGAGACAGGTTTGGCGTGATATCAATTCCTAGATCCTGCTCTCTGTCCGTTTCGTGAAGGACTTCATCTCCCATTCGGTATCCAGTGACTGACCTCCTAATTCCTCCTAGTTTCATTACCTTACATTTACTTGGGTTGAACTTTAGTAGCCATTTGTCGGACCATCCCTTCAGTTTGTCTAGATCATCTTGTAGCCTCATACTATCCTCCTCTGTCTTGATCCTCCTCATAATTGTTGCATCATCAGCAAACTTCGAGAGGAACGAGTCAATTCCTTCTGGGAGATCATTTACGTATATCAGAAACAATATAGATCCAAGGACTGATCCCTGTGGGACTCCACTGGTGACTCCCCGCCACTCCGAGACCTCACCCCTCACGGTGACTCGCTGTGTCCTGTTTCTTAGGTACTTCCTTATCCAGTGGAGAACCTTCCCTTTCACTTCTGCCTGCATCACCAGTTTGTGCACTAGTCTCTTATGTGGTACTGTGTCAAAAGCTTTCTGGCAGTCCAGAAATATGCAGTCTGCCCAGCCCTCTCTCTCTTGCCTGATTTTTGTTGCCTGGTCATAGAACTCAATTAAACCTGTTAGACATGATTTGCCATCTCTGAAACCATGCTGGTGTTGTGTTACAAAGTTCATCCGCTCCAGATGTTCCACTAGCTTTTTTCGCACAATCTTCTCCATCATCTTACATGGAATGCAAGTTAGGGACACTGGCCTGTAGTTCAGTGCCTCCTGCCTATCACTCTTCTTGTATATTGGGACTATATTGACCATCTTCCAAATTTTTGGCAGTTCACCTGTTACCAGTGATTTGTTGTACACCATGGAGAGTGGCAGGCACAGAGATTTTGCTCCTTCCTTTAGAATCCATGGTGTCCCCTAGCCATCATGGGGACTGTCCCCCCTGAAATTCCATCCGGGCCTATGGTCTTTGTCACGTCCAAATCTAGCAGATGCTTCCTCACCTCCCCACTGGTTATCATAAACTCCTCTAATGGTGTCTGGTTTGATGTTCCCTCTCTTATCATTGGGACTTCTCCTTGCTATCAGGTGAAGACCTCCTGGACCTCTGTGCGTTTCTTTACCGCGAGACAACTAAAGTTTCTTGTGTTACACGTCATTCGTTTCGCCTATAGGATTTGTGATTAACCCTTTACGGGTACACCATTTTTTATTAACAAGCTTAGGTATACACAGCAATGTGCTGCTACCCTACCCTATTCTAAATGCAAGATTACACACTGTAGATAAAAAACTAGCTACAAGTTCATCTAATATTCCCATCTCACAGGATGGTTAGGCTTACATGGAATAAGGGAGAAAATATCAGCCTCAATTCTCGTCTGCACACAAGAAAATACCAGCCTCAATACAAAACAAACCAGCTCTGACTAAAAAGGAGGAGAGAACATGAAATGTAAGGCTGATCTATTAGCCTCCACTAGCAAAATCTGGGTACAGCACAAGAATATCTTCCAATATTCCTGAGTGTATGAAGTAATTACATAGCTCAAAGCACCTCATACTATTTGGTCAGAAGTCACTTATAACAGGGCAATCACAGATATAGTGTTGGAAAGTATGTCCCAGCTCTTGTTCACATAGTTTACAATTGGAATGTTCACCATTGGGTGGGTGGGGGAGGGACTCATTACCTGCAGCCACCTGCCATAGATATGGACATCACCCAGCCTAATTCTGCAATTACACGTCGGGGCGCATCCGATCCCACGATTGTCGTCGCCCCAAAATCATCAACAGTAGCAGTCAGGGGGTTATAGTTGTGGGTGATGGTTTATGTTTATGGGTTGGTGGGGAGGCGGCAGTGATGGTCTGGCGAGGGCAGAGGGCAACGGTGAAGTGTTGGTGGGGGCGGCGACATTAACAGCAGAAACCCTCACAGGAGGGAGCAGGGAGGGTTATGGGAGAGGGGGTGGGGGAGTGAGGGCAGTAAACAAACCCACCAGTGTTGGAGCCGTGACACCCGCCACTACGGCCACGGACACACTACAAGGCCACGGACACACCACAAGGCCACTTTGACCATAACAACACTACAAGGTTTGTATTTGATGAGGGCATCAAGCGTACTGTACATGTATATATACACACATAAATGTGAGGGCACCGATGGAGAGTCGCGGCGCTGTCTCACTTGTTGTGTGCCACTGAGGTTAATGTTGAGTTGATATTTTCTGTTCCATTTAGACTTATAAAGAGTCTCCTAGGCTACAACTGACCTTGCCCAGCATGTAATCCACAACAGTTGTATAACTCACGGGTGCGCGTGTGTGTTGTTAGCATGACAGAAGCATGGCATCTAAGGAGACGTGCGTGAGAAACGGATGCTGGTCCAGGTAATTAACTACCTAAGTGTAGTTACAGGATGAGAGCTACGCTCATGGTGTCCCGTCTTCCCAGCACTCATTGTCAGGTATGACAAAGACTTCCCAGGTATGAGTGGACTGAAGTAATTACTGTGCCTCAGCTCGCCCCGCTGAGTTATGTCAGTTTATCATTAGGAAGAGTTTAAAGGTATTTAGAAGCTATATTAGTACTGATTATAATTGCCATACTTCTAAGAATGAAATAAAGGTACTACAGTACTAGTATATTGAAATACAGGTACTATACTTTATATCTTGAGCTTGCTTAATTGACAGTTATCAACCTATAGAACACCCACATTAATAGCAATACAATAAAATTGTAGTCTCAACTGGTGTTCTACACTTTATGTCTTAAATGCTGTACAGTACTGGACTCCTGGTTGTACTGGAGCAGGTTGGGCATCTGGCTTCTGCTTTGCATGGGGTCAAATTGAACTGGGGTACAGCCAAAACATACACATGCTTCAAGATGAAGGTGGTTTTCTAATTGTTAAAACATTATGTATTATTAGGCTGGGTTAGGTTTTGTTAAGATGAGTTGGATTGGATTAATAGATAGTGGCGCTCAGGTAAATTCACATAACATGTTAACTTATGGGAGTACAATATACATACACCAAATTTCAACTTACAAGTGTGGATAAGTGAACAAATACATCATCATCACTTTTAGATACAAGTGATTGTTTTCCCTCATTGTCATATAAGATTTTTTTTTTTTTTTTACAGTTCAGATGACTAAAGAATTCATAGATCCTCCACAAGGGAAGGAAGGTGTCCAGTGGTCAAGTCCACAAGTTGGAAGTGGCACTTGTCAAAATCCAGAGGTATCACAATCTGGAGCCAGGGCTCTGGCAGCGTCTGATGTTGACACACCTGACGACAAAGAAGTTTATAGAATAAATGAGGAAGAGACTGTATTTAGTCCAAGTAGTGGCGAGCATACTCCTCAACTCCTGTCATCATCCCTGCCACTCGCTGGCACACCTGTATCTCTTCAGTTGAATTCTCCACTATCATCACTGCACTCCTCATCCCCCTCTCTTCCATCTCCCGTTCCTGGCCTTTCTCCCACACTTTCTTCCCCTCCACCCACATTTCCACCTTCACCACTCCATCCATATCAAAGGAATACACATATTTCAGTTGAGGAGTTTAATGAACGTGCAATGCAAGATAGTGAAAACAATAATGTCGATGAGAACAGCAATGATCAGCAGTACGAGCAGTATACAAATTACCACCGCGAGTTCAGCTACCACCAGTTTGTGCCAGACATGTCTGTCAGACCTCGTGATAGAAGACTGCAGAATGAAAGGGATGACACTGATCATGTTCCTGTGAACTTTGAAGACAATATTAGATGTACCAGTAGAAGAAGTAATCGCTTTTCTCATCGAAGAAATTTGTCAGAAGATCAGACTTATTCTGGTACTACTACTTATGCATTTGAAGATAGTTATTCACAGTTACCAAATCTCAATACCCCTCCAGGTAAGCATTTATAGATAATTTTGTTTAACAGTAATGCTGTACCAATTCTGTATCTGAAATTGCATTCTCTATATGTTAGCTAAATATATTGTATCTAATATATGGTATCATTACCCTCAAATAAAACAAAGAATTGGTAAAACAACATATGAATTTATTTACCTGATTTTCCTTCTAAGTTGATTGTGGTATATGTATGGATGTGTATTTATGCATGTATATTTGTGTATGTAATTACCTAAGTGTAGTTACAGAATGAGAGTTGCATGCATGATCTTCTGTCTTCCTAGTACTCATTGTCATATGAGGCTTGAAACTACTGACAGTTTTGGCATCCACCACCACCACCTCACTTGTTGTAACTGTTTCCACTCTGTTTGCAAAAGAGAATTTTGGAATATTTTTTAGGCATCTTTGCTTCCTTAGCTTGAATCTATGCCCTCTTGTTCTTAAAGTTGCAGTTTTCAAGAATTCATCTTTGTTAGTTTTGTCAATCCCTGTTACTTTTTTGTATATAGTGGTCATACCTCCTCCTTTTCTTCTATCTTCTGTGATTAGCAAATTTAACACCTTTAGCCTGTAACACAATGTGACATTGTAATTACCTAAGTGTAGTTACAGGATGAGAGCTACGCTCGTGATGTCCCGTCTTCCCAGCACTCTGTCATATAATGACAACATGTTGTGTTACAGCTTAGAGAATACACATGTACATGACAATTTCTGTCCACAAAACTTCATCCAGATCTGTAGAGGTGGGGGAGCATTTCAATAATACAGAAGGCATTTTCCTCTCAGGATTGTGACATGGGTATACTGGAACAGGAAACTATCTGCTCTTGGGTCTCTGATCTGCCTAATGAGTTCCTCTTCCACCTCCTTCAGAAACTTAAGTACACATTTATCCCAGGCACCTAGGTTATTTAAGACTATTGGCACAAACCTGTAACAATGTCCTAAGCCCCTGTACTTACAGGTTTTTTGGACTTTCCTGAAGGTGGCTGCCCCCACCACCTTCAGATACACTGTGCTGTGGATAGATATCAGTGAATGTCAATGCACACACATGGAGTTCCTGTGATGCTTGGGGTTCTAGGGAATAAATAAATGTGTAGTTTCCTCTATTTTTATGAAACATGCTGCTCCTTACACCTCGGTTTACAATGTAGATGCTGATGTAATAGTGGGTGGGGGCGCATAATGGCCAGGCACTCCAAATATCAGTTTGCAGAGAAACTTTAGGTTAAGTCTCTTTGCCTGGAGAGCAAAGATGAATGGACATTCTGGAAGTCATTTTGGGCTGTACAGGTGTATTAAGTTTTCTCTAGTGTCTCCCTTCTACCACTATGATCCAGCAGGGATATAAGAAAAGACCCTGACTTTGTCTGGGAGAGTGTCATCCTGACCTGGCTGTATCTGGTCCTGTTTTTTGGTAGAGTGGGGAAATTGCCTAAGCATGGCAACTGAGTGCCATGCTCAGAAAGAAGCTTTTTATCTATAATCCCAAATTCTTGCTATTGTCATGGCCAAAGCATCTAAGGGCACTTCTATGTGGGTTTGAAGATTTGCCTACAACAGAGGGAGTTTCCTAAGTACAGTACACCTAATATTCTGTATGGGGGGTAACAGAGTAAAGAAAAACAACAATATGCAAGTACCAAAAGGAAAGTAGTAAAGACTTTAATGCTTGCATCTTAGAGTAGAAATGTGCCAGAGATGAATATAAATAGAATTTTGGCAAGCATTTTTTTCTTTTTCCTATTTCATATTTTATCTAGGAAGTGTTAACAAAAAAAGTAAAAGTAAAAATATTCAAAATCTGAGCAAATCACTTGTTCATAACATTTAGGCCTGCAGTTATGAAAGCTATGGGGTATGATGATGTATGTAATTCCTCAGAAACACCCACTGTAGCTTAGAGATGCTTTTTTCATCGTACTGTATAATTTAATTACCATACCAAATGCAGATGATGAGTCACAATAACGTGGGCTGAAGATATGATGACCAAACCACACATCAGGAGATGGAGAAAAGACAACATTTTGGTCTGTCCTGGACCATTATTAAGTCGTGTGTGGATAATGGTCCAGGGCAGACCAAAACATCGTCATTTCTCCATCTTCTGATGTGTGGTTTGGTCATCATACCATACCAAATCAGACATGTGTTGTAAGACTATTTAAATAGGACTTTCTGTCTTAGTTGCCTATGAACATTAAAATTGTGAAAATAATTATTTTGTAAATGCCTATTTTCTCCATAATTATTTAAATAAATGTTCTGTATTTGTGAAAATTATTATTGACATCTTTATAATCTATTTACTGAATGAATTAGATAGGATGGACAGTCATGTTGTCCATTCATCCCTTTATTTTCTAAACTGGTTTGTCATAAATCAACCATTCTTATATAGGTAAAATTTGCTTCTATAACTTAATTTCATATGAAATCATTTTCCATGAAATTAGCTTACTATTTTATATGTAAAATAGTTTATCTAGTATTTTATGAAAAATAATTCAGCATTTGCTTTTGCAGCTTCAAGCAGAGTATTACCTAGATTACCTAATCATAATGACAGTAGGAATGGGTACTCGGACCATTTACCCTACCATCATCCAAGAGAAGCTGCTCTCTCACACTCTTCGAGTAGATGGCATCCACTTAATTTGAGGGATGGTGGGTGTGAACCTTTGCCGCTTGCACCAGCACCCTCAGAAGATATTACTCAAGGGGCACAAGAGCTTTTAATGAACTTTACTTCAGATACACTACGGAGCAACCATCTGGCAGTACCCGATTCACTCATCTTACACCAAGGGTTAGAATTTTATTGTTTCACTTGGATGAAACATGCTGTGAAAGTGATAGGTGGATGTAGTGAATGAGTTGCTAAAAGGAAGGTATGATATGCAGTTGTGGTAAATTAATTGTTGAATGGAATTTATTCACTGTTGAAGATAAGGCTTTGTCAGAGGCAGTAGTTGAGGAACAAGTCTTATTGCTTATTGACCCTTCTTGGTTGGTTTAGGGTTCCCAGAATGTAGAGTGTCATTGTGCACACGAGGGAAGAGAAGAGGGCTGATGTAACCTTCCCCGAGGTCGAGATAGACAGTGCCTCTTCATCTGGGTTGATTTATTGTTCCTTCCACAGATGATGATGAACTGTCGAAGTTTCAGTCGTCTTGCCTTCCTACTGCTTGGGCCAAGTGAGACAATGTTTTTCATGTTCACACATTTGAATTGAACCTTGATCTCTACAAGTTCAGGCCTCTATCAGATTTTTGCCCATAGTTCAGTCACGTAAATTTGTGCAGGTCTGAGTGATGCTGATGCCGAGTTACACTGCTTACTACTTTTATACTAAATTTGAAAATGTAGGCAAAATAATAAATTGTGTAGGTTGAACAATTTCTCAGGTAGGCCAGTAGAGCGTGCTATGTCCCACACCTCATGTTTATACACAGGTTGAGAACAGTCTTACTGCTATTTAGATGGTGGATCCAATGTCTTTGTTTCTTTGTTCCATGACCCATTTATCTCAGGTTGTTTGAAGTGTCAAGTAGCCTGTGATCTACCCTCGGGGCCTCGATGTTCATAAATTTACAGCTCTACCTACAGTGTTTTCAAATATGTTTTGGGCAGATATTTGGGGTTAGTGGTTTTGGCAGTCCAACAAAGTGCTGGCAGCTTGTTATTTAGTGTACGGTCTGCATTGGATTTAAGTGGCTTTGTGGCGGTTTGCTCGTTAATAATTCCCCCCTTCCTGTGGGTTAAATTCTGTGGCTGCTCTCTGCCTCTGGTGTTCTTTTATTTTGTTTCCCTCTTTTGTTTCTTCTCCATGGTGTACCAAGGAGCTACCATTAGGATCTCTCCCAGAAAACTAGCATTAACTGTAATAAAATGCCTCTTTCTAGTGGGTCTTTGATGGCTCCTTGGAAACTTCCTTTCCATATATCAGGGGGCATCACTTTTCCATTTTCTTGGCAAAATGACCTGAAGTGGTAAGGTTGGTGGTTAATGGAGGAAGGTGCACATCTGGTGTTGCGCAGGTGGAACTAACATTAGAATTGTTCACCACAGAATGGTCTGTGAGTTTCTGGGATTCGCTGTCTTGATTTCTATGGTTGGTTTGCCTTGCTATCAACTGTATTGATTTGCTCCACCTTTCTGGTGGTCTTTTCTTGGTTAGGGTAATTTACTATACATTGCTCCTTGTGCCTCTTTAGATGGGGGGCCAGGTTTTGGCATGTGGTACCTTGTAGGCTTGTATATGATTCTGTAAGGTACTGACATAGCTTAATTTGGGTGGAGTTTGCCAGGCAGCAAGCATCAAGGACCCACCAGAATAATATCATTACATTCAATGCAATTTTTTTAAGATGATACTTAAAGTTGTAAAGTTATTCATGCTAGGATTGTATTGTAATGTAAACTGCTCTGTCTTGTAGTTATAATGACACAGTATTGGTTTTATATAGTTTCAGTAACCCTACTTGGTCAAGAGCTGGCCAAGAGCTACGGCTACTGGCAGACACCTTTGCAAAAACTGAGGAGCGTAAAAGAGTACAGTCTATGGCAGAAACAGTAAACATGAGATCCATAAATATAGAAAACTTTTTTCAACTCTGCACTGAACTCTTTTCTGTAAGTATTATTTCTCATTCACAGTTAATTTTTGCAAAATTAATGAGAGTTGGCTTTTATAAATGTTATTGCTGTATAATAATTTTCATTGTTGGGGGATAAGAAGCCTGCATTTATGCTTGTATGAAAGTCCCATCCTGGGTAGAACTATTGACTTTCCCAGAATGCAACCCAAAGCAGTTGCCTAACTCCCACGTACCTGTTTACTGCTAGGTGAAGAGAGGCATCAAGTGAAAAGAAATGTGCCCAACCATTTTTGTCCTGCTTGGAGATTGAATCAGAGATCTCTGACTGTGAACAAAAATGTAGACCACTGAACAATAAGTCCCTCCCCCAACTAGGCTATGTTCCATAGTAATTAAATACAAGATAGTATTGATAAACACTTCCATTTAAAAAAACATTAATTTAGTCTGAAGCTACAACAACTGAGTAAATAGTTACATTAATAAACTATTGCTAATGAAACTTTTCTCTTGTAAAAGAGGCATAATTTGATTATTTGCTATTTTTCTGGGGGGGAGCCCTGTCGGCTCCCCGAAGCTTACTAGACTGATATGCTAATATCCGACTTTGGCATCAGTCATGTGTATGGAGTTCTGTGGGCCTACCGGGAACCATGAGCCAGAACCTGGCCCCTTCAGAGAGGCATGGGGAGCAATGGCCTATAGAAATCCCTGTGTGGTTGGAAGCATTCTATGTCTGCCATCGACTGGGTCAAGTACCCAGAAAGGTAAGCTTCCCAAAATAAACCCCTATTCTGGTGAAATTATTGCTACCAAAAGCTAAAAAAGTGGATAGAACTTCCCTAAAAGAAATGAGCAAATGATCATGACGTCACACGTCGCCGCGCCACTGTCTGCACAGCTTCCCCTTCCCCGGGAGGAGGAAGGAAGAGCCCTAGACCCCTCACGCCGGCTATCCACCCATCAGTTCTGAGGCTGGATGTCAAAACATATGAAAAAAATGCAGACAGGGGGAGGTAGGGATGCTGGGAAGCCTCCGGGTCTCACCCAGAAAATGGCGTTTCATTACATTCAACACTGGTTTTCTGGGGGATGCCTGGTCGGCTCCCTGGAGCTAACTACCCACAGAGGAAAATCTTAGGGACTTACCTGGGAGGCGGTCATTGCTCACTCCACAACTCGAAGGCGAGACAACTGGCTGCAACTGCCAACCCAAAATGACACAGGCCCGACTAGGCCCAGGGACATGCATCGTCCCAGCTACCGAAGAAGGGACAGAAGGAAAAGGAAGGACCGCCAAAAACCCCACACTGTCCCCAAGAAGAAGCACGCAGGTGGGACACCATCAACGAAGCCACCCGACCACCAACAGAATATGAGAGACTCGAGGCAGACCCGAACCAGCCCCGCCACGGGCCAATCGAGCTTAGGAAGAAGCGGAGCCGCGGGAAGATCTCGGGTGCGACCATGGAGCCAGCAGAGCCGGAAACCCAAGCCAGCAAAGGAGGAGATGGAACATCTGCCATACAGAAAACCATCCCAACGCCGGCGAGCCCGCCAGGAGATCGGAGACGACAGTCCCGACATGCAATTCTAAAGAAGGGAAACCGAGAGACCGTGAAAACGCCAACAGGCCAGGAAAGCCAGGAAACCAGAAACCTGGCAATAGGAGAACCAAAATTCACAAACAAAACACACAACCCTGTGTAGGATAAAATGAGAAAACAGAAAACACATGAAAAGACCAGAAGAAAAAGCCCCAGTACCAATGGTCAGGGACAAGAGCGTAGAAGGAAGATGAGGGATAAAGAAGGCAAGTAGCAAAACGGGAATGAAAGGGACATGACCAGCAACACACAGAGCCGCTGGTAACATCCCAACAAACCAGGCCAACAACACAGTTGTGTGACACATCCCAACCCAAGACGAAAAGGAAAAAAGGTACAAAGGTACGCCACCTGACCAGTACCCGAACCAAGGAGTACGAGCTACAAGGATATGATCACCAGATTTAAGATTCCCAAAGGAAGTGATAAGGTAGAGAAAGCCCGACTACGGGACCCCAGGGGCACATGCACCAGGGGGACACCGGTGGAATGAGAGCCCAAACGAGCCAAAGAGACATGGGGAAAAAAAATTGCAGTGTCAGAATAGTAAACAAGCAGAATGCATGAGGAAGCGATGTGGTGGAGGATGACACCACACACAGCTGCAAGCGTAGATAAGATAGAGCCCAGCAAGCTCAGGAACCTGAACATGAGTGAATGACAGGCGAGAAGCGGGACCAAAAAGCCAGAGCTCAACTCCCGCAAACACAACTAGGGAAGGACAACTAGGTAAGTACCGTACAGAGAATCCAATGTATATGGAAGGGCTAAGCCAGGCACTGCAAGATGTGCAAGGAATGAGTAACCCAGAGAAGGCCATGAAAAACAGGGCTGTGACCTCCCTTGCAACCATTAACCCAGATGAACAAGTAAGGCCCCAGGAAGAAGCACGGAAGAACCAAACAAAAATCCACAACCAAACCTCAACAAGCATCCACAGCATAAAAACTGCAGCAAAATGTCACCTCAGAACATCCAGACAGGAACACGGATGGGGCCTCGTAGCCTGGTGGATAGCGCGCAGGACTCGTAATTCTGTGACGCGGGTTTGATTCCCGCACGAGGCAGAAACAAATGGGCAAAGTTTCTTTCACCCTAAGTGCCCCTGTTACCTAGCAGTAAATAGGTACCTGGGAGTTAGTCAGCTGTCACGGGCTGCTTCCTGGGGTGTGTGTGTGTGTGGTGTGGGGAAAAAAAAAAAAAAAAAAAAAAGTAGTTAGTAAACAGTTGATTGACAGTTGAGAGGCGGGCCGAAAGAGCAAAGCTCAACCCCCGCAAAACACAACTAGTAAACAACTAGTAAACACTTACCCCATAACATATACCCCCACCACTGTACTATGTAACCTGGTGGAGGTAGGGCACCTATCTAGACTCAAGCATGGGCTGGACATGCATAAGAGTGAGACTGGATGGGTATAAATAGGAGCCGCCTTGTATGGCCAAAAGGGCCTGCTGCAGTCACCTGTGTTCAGATGTTCGTATATTCGTATCCAAAAATCACCAACCAGCACCTAGCGAAAAAGAAGCCAGACTGCAGAACGTAGGCACGAATGTGTCACGACACAAAATAGCCGGGAAGATTCCGGGAGCACTGCCAGTGGAAGAAGGCAGAGCCGCACATGCAGGAGAAGAGTAGGGTAGAGGTGAAGGAGGAACCCCACACCCATACGCAGGGAAAACCCACAGAAGGCAAAGTCGCACCCGAGACCAAAAGTCATGCAGAGCCCCAAGAAGAGGAGGAACATGACTGTGAAGGCCCGTCCCAAGAAGAAGGGTGGAAAAACGTACCCACCGACAGGATGGACCCAACGGATCCAAGGGACAAGGAATCAATCGATCCCGGGGAGGGGCCGACTCCCAAAAATATGTATGGAGAGGGGAAGGGGGGGGGGAGAAAAAAACCCCACTCCTCATAACCACAAGCCCCACCCAGAGGTTAGAAAAACTCAGGCGAGGTCCAAACATCAGCACCTCACCAGCCCCCGGGAACCCACAAGGCAGGTCCCTGGGCCGAGGCGTTCACGCAAATCCCCAGCTTCAAAAGAAAAGCCCGAGCAACCGGACAAGTACTAAGGAAGGGAGCCACTGGCAGACTCATACAACACGGCTGGAGGAACAGGCTCGAATGCTTCTGTCGCTACCCCAGAAGGGATAAATCCCTGAGACCACCCGAGTCTCAAGACCAGTGAAGCCCCGCCCCGACCCTCGAACCCACAAACAGTAAGGAACCGGATGCAGGGAAGAGCATAACAGGGGAAAGACAAGGGGGCATGGAAGGAACAAAACCGAAGTGTCCAACACCCCCAAGCCCCTTCACACCAACCAAAACGGGGCAGCCCCGGGCTCCCGGGAAACAAACAACCGAGCGCGTTGCACCACCGAAACTCAACTTGCAACGCCCGTGCTGCCTGCACCCGCATAGTCAGCATAAGACTGGGTAATCAAGCCACAAACAAGCAGCAAAATTTGCAGGGCTCCAGGCTGAAGATGCCACCGACCCCACAGGCAGCAGACGGAGGCAAAACAGTGAGAGTCACCCTGAGACAAGGGAACAGAGCAACCCTCGAACTCGCACAAAGCGAGGGGGGACTCCGGGGCCACATCCATCGGACCCATGCACTCCCTTGGGGTTTCCCAGGGTCCTGAGTGTTTACCTACAGGGACTCACGCCCAGGCAGGGTACTGCTAACCGGCGCCAAAGTCTACCAAACAACCTTCTAAGAACTGAACCCCCGGGAAATGTACACTCACGGAGACCTAGCAGGGGGAACCACCGGAAGAAGGAAGAGTATTCAGTACACAGGGGGCAAGAAACAAGGCAGACCCCCCACCAGGCAGACAAACAAAAAGAAAAAGAAAACTCCGCAAGAGGACAACATACCCAGGCGGAACAGAGCCGGCTGCTATGATTGGTGAAAAGCTGCGTAATACCCTGCGCCCCTACCAGTGCAAACTGCCCCCTACCCCAAGGCGAACAAGGGAGACAGAACACCCTAGCACACAAAGGGCAGCTGAAAATCAAGCAGTAAACAGCCTAGCAGGGGCAGAATCCAAGGAACTTGTGGAAGGTGGCCCCAAGCCCCAAGGGCAGTACTTACAGGGCACCTAGGGAAGGAAACCCTAGGTGCATGCAGCCTGAGTACTGGAGAATCACTCCAGGCACACACACCACCTAGAAGACAGTCACCGCACACTAGGTACAGTGCTGAAACAACCACTGGAGCCAGAGCACACAACCTCAGCCTCTAGCATCAGCCTTAGAACTGACGGATGGATAGCCGGCGTGAGGGGGGTCTGGGGCTCCCCCTTCCCCCTCCCGGGAAGGGGGAAGCTGTGCAAACAGTGGCGTGACAACGTGTGACATCATGATCGTTTGCTCATTTCTTTTAGGGGAGTTCTATCCACTTGTTTAGCTTTTGGTAGCAATAATTTCACCAGAATAGGGGTTTGTTTTGGGATGCTTACCTTTCTGGGTGCCTGACCCAATTGATGGCAGACATAGAATGCTTCCAACCACACGGGGGTTTCTATAGGCCATTACTTTCCCCATGGCTCTCTGAGGGGGGGGGCCAGGTTCCGGCTCGTGGTCCCCAGTAGGCCCACAGAACTCCATTCATATGACTAATGCCAAAGTCTGACATTAGCATATCAGCCTAGTAAGCTCTGGGGAGCCTCCGGGTCTCGCCCAGAAAATGGCGTTTCATTACATTCAACGTTGGTTTTTTGCATATGTTTCCTTAGCTAGAAAATATGCTCATGTTATTGTTTCATTACTTTGTTCAATTTAAATAGGATTTACTCCTGTAGCTTAGTACAATATGTAGTGGGACGTCTAAAATAACCAGTGGTTATTTTAGACCAGACTCTATTCTTTGGACATTCTCTTATTTTATATTGTATATACTGTAGTATAAACATACTGTATTAGTTTATGAACAACCTTCTTTAAAACATTAGACATTTGGGTTATTGCACATGTTGAGAAAAAAAACGACAGATATAAATACAGTAGCTAAGATTTAATGTTTTATGTACAATTTTCAGGATGGGATTACTTCAGAGCGAATTGTTGCCTTGTTTACATTTGTGGGTGATGTTGCTGTCCATCAGGTGCGACTACGAGGAGAGGAGTTTCTTCAGCTATTAATGAAATGGTCACTAAAGTATTTAGTTGACAATGTTTGTAGATGGGTACAAGAGGCAGGTGGTTGGGTAAGCACCTTTGAATTATATATCTGTTTTTATCTTTGATGCCTATATTTCCATTGGGAATTTCCAGTTCTGGGGTGGCCACACAGAAATACCATCAGATATTTAAAATACTTTAATGTTTTATTGAAAGACTTGAGGGAACATTTACCTAGCTTTCTCAGTATTATTTTTTTGATACAATACTCAAAGCTTTTTTATTTTATTGTAATTCTGTAGTAGATTGCAAGTGTGCCTGAAAAATCAGGCTTTGAGTGATAATGACGAGGTCCTCAACGAACATGACACTTGGATGCTTCTGAACACAAGCTCATAGAATGCCCTATATTATTGGAATTCTCAGTATTCAAGTCAAGGTGACATTCCACATGAGTACAGAGTGCTCATGTGGAATGCTGCTGTGATCTTTCATAGCAGGGATCTTTTCAAATATTCCTGCTTGATATTGGTGTTTTTCCTTCCTATCCTGCTTTGCTTTTCCTGTGTTTCAAGATGGCTCTTTTTGAGGCAAGAAGTGTATAGAGCTAAGCATGGAGGTGCTGCTGGCTGGTTTGGAAAGGTATTCCTGTAGGTTAATTTGTAGTTAACTATAGCCTTAACTTGGCAGTTATGTTATGAACAAACCCATGTAGGTCTATCTTGACAGGATTGCTCATTTTCTAGTGACATCTTGGCACTTTTAAATGACCCTTTAGGGTCAGTTTAAAAAATGTTCTCATTGGCACTATTGCAGTGTCATAATGCCTCACTGTATATGATCCTGTCCAACAAACTGTGAATCATACCCAAGGAAATGGTAAAAATAATCAGCTTAGAAAGGCATTTTTCACAAAACTCAAAGCCAGATTCCATCTACCTCTTCCACTACTGTTAAACCATTATGATGATCTAAAACCATTTAGCAATTAATTGAGGCCATCAGATCCCAGTAGCAGTCTCCTGCAGCTGACAATTATGCCAAAACCTGAGGGTTCATTTCTTTATGCGTATTGTACTCAATTATCCAAGTTCCCAGGGAAATGCTGCCTTAGCATCTTCATAAAGTGCATTTCTTGGTCCCTGTTAGGAGTCTGGATTTACCACCTCTTAACAAATTTAAGCACCATTGGTGCAGTGATCAGTGTACCAGTGCTGTTGAAGGGGAGACCTTTGATGGCCTGGGTTTGAATCCTCTGAGGGGTCATAGTTAAAGTTTTATACGTGTTAGTCATAGTTAAAGACAGGCCGACAAAGATGGACAAATGGGGAGACAAAGATAGACGGACAGAGTACATCTGGGGTACCCTTTCTAATGTTTATATATTTTTGTGTGTTGGTATAGAAACCTGAAGAAATAGAACCACAGGTGGCCTTGCCTCTTGTAAAAATAAAATAATTTTTTTTTTTTGTGTTAAAGTAAGTGAAAAAGTTTGAAGTTAATTTTTGTAGTCCCAAATTACTCTCTCCTTACATATTCCCATTTGCGGATGTAAATGATGTCATAAGAAGACGAGAAACTAGGTATTTGATCATAAATCTTTACTTCAAAAGTGTTGTGAAAAAGCATTTGTATGTAGAATTTTTGTATATTTTCACCTTTTCATCTTTTCTTTTTTATTAAATGTGTATGATATTTGGCAGGTGGCTGTGCTTGGGCAAGGAGCAAACATGGTATACCGGGCTGCTGTTTGTGCGTTCTGTATAGTTGGCTCATTAGCAGCTGGTTTGTTCATATACAAAACATTAAAAGATTGGTGACATTGGTGAAAAATAGGTTGTAATATTCATGTATTCCTCTTTTCTATCAACAGCAACTTAAAATATTTGTCTTTTTTCAATTTTGAAATGTCAAAATACTGTAGTAAATTAACCATAAATTGTACAGTCATCTTCACTTAGTATCATAAGTAAAAGAAGTACTTTAGAGCTTCCAACTTTGAAAGTTAGTTTTTTTTATTCCACTTTAACATAGCTATTTATGTAAACCAATATGCAGTTAATTTAATACTAAATAAATTGTAATGTCATTTTTTCAAATGTAGGTAACTTGTATTAAAAGAACATGAGCTTTAATTAGTAGTTTAATTTTTAAAGAGAAATTTGTTTTTAAATTCCTACAGAATTACAATTTGATCTTGAACCCCTCTGCATTTTTATTTTTTTGGACAAACATGGTTGTTAAGGATTTATTGAGAAGGCTGGTGTGAATTATTTACCATCATTCAAATTTTTAAAAAAGCTGTTTGGAATGGGCCTGAAACAAATAAACTTGAAACTTTTCATACAAGTTATAAAGGTTAGGCTACTCTAACTTTATTAGGTATCCCCCAGTAAGGTGATCCCTTAGGGTTTACCTTATTTACTGAATTTGTCCTGCCCTTTTATTTCTGGGTGATAATTTGAGAATACAATTTTTCATTGGCTTTAATATTCTGTAGTTATATATACTACAATATTATAAAAAAGAAACTTCTAATGAAATTGTGCAGTGTATCCCTCAGGTGCCTGCCTTTGGAATATTATGTAATTAGGAGACCTTCAGTGATGATGTGATAATGAATAAGTGAAGCTTCACCAAATTTTTTATTTTTTATTTATATATTTCTTACATTCTTATACAGCCACTAGCACGCATAGCGTTTCAGGCAAGTCCTTAATCCTATGTTCACGGAATACAACCTGCTAAATTGTTTAACAACCAGGTAGCCATTTTACTGTTGGGTAAACAAAAGCTACAGGCAAGGATTTGCACCCAGTAAATCCTACCCAGCCAGGATACAATACCCAGGACAAAGCGCTCGCGAAACGCCAGGCGAGTGTCTTACCACTACACCACAGGGACTATGTATTACACATTTACTTATACTAGATGATGTGCTATATAGTTTCACTTAAAAATATGAGCAAGACATTTTTCATATTTTCAATAAATTTCACATTTTCAGTTTTCAAACATTAAAAATTTATTTAATGAAACTTCAGGTAATTTGTATAACACCTGAAAAAATAACATTCCTTTAAGTATACCTGTGTATTCTTAGTAGATACAGTATGATTTTGGAATTAAATTTGATAAGTTCTGACCACTTTGAGACTTGAAATAATATATTGTGGCAAGTTTATAATATTTTAAGTAGTTATTCAAGAACTCACATTTTCTGTTTTAAACCCAATATAGTTTAATATTGTATACAGTAGGTGGATGAATAGAGTGATGAAGAAGCCTTAGTTTTTTCAGAGATTATTTGTATAAATGTACAATACTGAGATGGGAGGCCATGTATACCTTGTTTGTTTTCCTTCTAAAATTTGTTTTTGAATCTTAGCTAGTATATGTAGAGGTGTGGTGAGGCACCTTCCTGTTCAACTGTGTACCTGTTTAATTACATCTATCACTTGCTATTCAAGGAGGGTGACCCTAAGTATGCCGATAATATTGTACATGTCTATTTATACTATTCGATATTAGTTGATTCAAAGTCTTCCAGGCTTGGAGCCTTCTTATAATAATTGCTTATTATTATTATTAGTAATGGTAATGTCTTCTCACAGACATAATAACAGAATAAAAACCCACACTTGTGTATTTGTGAAATTTATGTAAGGAATTTACACACTTTCACACACACCTGAGTGCTTTATCAAGGCCGGAGTGTGTGATTAGGACGAGACTCGCATCTTAACATCTAACGAGGCTGCTATCCTGGGTCTAATCTTCTTATCCTTCTTGACTGCCTGACCATGTCACCTCTATTCCTGACAGCTGATGTACCTGTGGTAATGTCTTCTACAGAAATATGGTCATGTTTCCTTTCTGTAATCCTGCTATTCTAGGAACTGAAGTTGTTATTAATAAAGATGTTCATCAGGATGATCTGGATTATTAGTAGTAAACTGTTACCACTACAGTATGTACAACATATATTCAGGGGAGAAATTCTATAATAGGAACAGGGCTTAACCGTTCTGGGTGGTTCTCTAGCATCATAATCGGGCAATATATTAATTATAATTACTGGCCAATAAATATATAAATTACTACAATTGACCAGGTACAACACTTTCCTGGTTTGTCGAGCTCGTCAGTTGGGCGGAGACTTTGTGGTCTTATGTCACGAAGCTCAAGATGTGTGCACATGCCGATTGTTAATGAGAGGTGGTGCGTGTTAGCGTCTAGACGTACATGTGCACAATGGCGTTGTGTGGGATCTCATTATCCCGACTACTGTGGACACAACCATCAGCAAGCATGGTTCTGAATTCGTCATTATCGACTTATGGAAGTAGATGTGTGATTTGTTTGTCATTTAATTTAGCCCAGGAGAATAATTTCTTATATTTAACCTTAAGACCGGAGGTTTTATGATTTCACGAGAAATAGTGTCCATAAATAGCGGATTTGCTGACGTGGCAACATCCCATTTTTTCTGTCACTAAAATTAGTTCCTTTAATGGTTCTCGTATGATTATTAGTGGGTTAGTAAGATTAGTATGTTCCTAACATAATCGTTTTGGCTTGGTATGTTAGGGGTTAGTAATTTTGTGTCGGTATTTCCGACATTTAACACTGCAATAAAAAAGTAAAATGTAAACATTTTGCATATCAAGTTTTGGCTAATAAATAAATGAAAACTGTCTGTTACAAAAGTATTTCAACAACACCATGAATGTATTCAGATCATTACCAAGATAAGTTGATATTAGAGATGAAGGAATAGCAAGATTAGGACAATCCAACAAATACTCAACTGTAAGTAGGAAAAGCCAGGAGTGGCATGCGGTCTGGTCTGCCTTCTTTCTAAATAGTAGCACCATAAATGACCAAATGTGGATGTATTTACCTGTTGTTTGGAGGTAAGGAAGCTTGAATTACAAGAACATCTATTACAAGTGTTTTGCTTTTTATTTGGCAAGTTTTAAGAATGTGAAAGTGCTTGTTTATTAATTATTAAGGATAACATAAAACTTAAATTGGCCAAAAAATTTATATATATATATATATATATATATATATATATAATATATATATATATATATATATATATATATATATATATGTCGTACCTAGTAGCCAGAACTCACTTTTCAGCCTACTATTCAAGGCCCGATTTGCCTAATAAGCCAAGTTTTCCTGAATTAATATATTTACTATAATTTTTTTCTTATGAAATGATAAAGCAACCCTTTTCTCTATGTATGAGGTCAATTTTTTTTATTGGAGGTAAAATTAACGTAGATATATGACCGAACCTAACCAGCCCTACCTAACCTAACCTAACCTATATTTATAGGTAAGGTTAGGTTAGGTAGCCAAAAAAAGCTAGGTTAGGTTAGGTTAGGTAGGTTAGGTAGACGAAAAAACATTAATTCATGAAAACTTGGCTTATTAGGCAAATCGGGCCTTGAATAGTAGGCTGAGAAGTGCGTTCTGGCTATTAGGTACGACATATATATATATATTATATATATATATATATATACAGTATATATATATACAGTATATATATATATATATATATATATATATATATATATATATATATATATATATATATATATATATATATATATATATTTATTTATTTATTATGGAGAATATAATAAATAAATAAAAGGAGTTGATAAGAAAAAATATATGAGAATTATTCTGATAATTTATATATATATTTATTATTATGGAGAATATAATAAATAAATAAATAAAAGGAGTTGATAAGAAAAAATATATGAGAATTATTCTGATAATTTCCAAATAAAGTTATTGGAAAAATGAACTATGCAAGCAGGAGGGATGGATGGATGGAGTAGCAAAAAAGGAAGTGTAAACAAAATTGATGGTGAAGTGGCGATAAGGAAGATGTACAGTATTGTGGAGTCACAGATACAAGAGGTTTCATATTAATATGTTACATAGTCTTCCCAGCTTGGCACCTTCTTTTGAAAATTATTTACTTACTTCATATTAATATGAGAAGTGGTGTTTATGGTACTGTATTGCACAATACAGTGATACCTTGGTTTTCAAATTTAATCTGTTCACAGACGGGTCGTTAGCCGAAAATTCACAACCCGAAATGAATTTTCCTATAAGAGATAATGTAAATTGAATTAATCCGTTCCACACTCCCAAAAATATTAACTTCAAAATACATTTCATACATAATACATACACACAAATATTTTATACTATAGTGGTTACAAGTTATAGCTTACCTTTATTCATGACTCTTGTTGGCATATAGAAAGAAGATGGTGAGGAGGGGTGGGAGGAGAGGTGTTAGTGTTTGGAAGGGAAGTCCCCTTCCATTTTAACATCAGGCAGTGATGACTTCTGTGGGGTACTCTCTCCTACATTTTGCAGGCATACCACTAGGACCTAGTTGTGGCTCACAACTTGTTTTAATAAGAATCTGTCTAAAGACATTTGTTTTCCCCACATTTTATCACTTGTCTATATGAACAAATCCACAAGGGCCATGACAAGGATTCGAATGTACGTCTGTGAGGATCCCAAACGCTGCCTTAATGAATTGAGCTACGACATGGTAAAAGAATTGGAACCAGGAAATCATTCTGCTTTACCGACGGATCCTGCAGTCTCTCCGAGACACAAACCAGGGTTTTATGCAATTCCCCCCATGCACTCGAGCTATGTCAAAAGGCTGTTCTACCTCTTCGCCCTTGCTTCATTACACACAGAAATCACAATAGCGTAATGCATCAAATGAACACATCCACAAGGGTGGATTTTCGGCTTACGACTCGTCTGGGAACAGATTAAATTCAAAAACCAAGTGATCACTTGTACGTATTGTGAAACCCTTGTGGATTTGTTCATTTGATGCATCACGCTATTGTGATTTCTGTGTGTAACTTGTCTGTAGTGAGACATCACATTGTCATTAAAAATGTCAATGCAATGGCCTGCTACAGCTTTATCTGGGTGAGTTTTTTCAACAAAACTTTGGAGGTCTTCCCTTACTTCACACATTTTCTTAATGAGGAAGGGATATCCTCTACTGCCTCTACTCATAACTATTTTCTTAGGTTGAACCTTACCACTAACTTTCTTG